TGTTAGCAGACTGTGGATGTTAGCAGACTGTGGATGTTACCAGTAGACTGTGGATGTTAGCAGACTGTGGATGTTAGCAGACTGTGGATGTTAGCAGACTGTGGATGTTAGCAGATGTGGATGTTAGCAGACTGTGGATGTTAGCAGACTGTGGATGTTAGCAGACTGTGGATGTTAGCAGACTGTGGATGTTAGCAGACTGTGGATGTTAGCAGACTGTGGATGTTAGCAGACTGTGGATGTTAGCAGACTGTGGATGTTAGCAGACTGTGGATGTTAGCAGACTGTGGATGTTAGCAGACTGTGGATGTTAGCAGACTGTGGATGTTAGCAGACTGTGGATGTTAGCAGACGTGTGGATGTTAGCAGACTGGATGTTAGCAGACTGTGGATGTTAGCAGACTGTGGATGTTAGCAGACTGTGGATGTTAGCAGACTGTGGATGTTAGCAGACTGGATATTAGCAGACTGTGGATGTTACCAGCAGATTGTGGATGTTACTAGCACGTATGGATGTTACCCGTCAGACGTGTGGATGTTAGCAGACGTGTGGTTGTTTCAGCATGACATTAAACCAAGCCTAATAGCAGACCGAATACAAATGTAATTAGATGCCAAAAATACATGGAAAAAAATCAACAACAAAAAACAGATCCACTGAGTTCAACGTAACACAGGTGAAACAGAGTTCCTCTATTTCTTTTATTTTGGAAAATACTTCCAATAACATTTGCTATAATTTATACTCTTAACTTTCTTTAGGAATTTATTGACTTGAGGTTATCTAGGAAAAAAACGAACCAGTGAACCACCACAGGAAGTCATGCTGACGTCACACACGGCCGGGTCCTGGCTTCTCGCTGGCGTCTGTATGGCCGTGCTAGTCACGTGCGCCTGCTCACCCCCCACCACCCCAAAGTTAACTCTAACTCACGAAACAGGCGACACCGTGACCTTGACATGTGAAGCAAACGACACACACATGGTCAACACGTCTTCAATGTCTTGTGGTAAGATCGCTACCGCCAACACGTCCCATATCGTATCCTTGGAAATTCCGCTCAACAAAACCTCAACTCGTCTGAAATGCGACTGCGTCATTCATTACCATGACAACAGCGCATCCACAACAATCCACCTAGTGTTAAACAAATGGGCGACAACTCCAACGACGAGTCTGTGGTGTGGTGTGGTTGAGCCCCTTCTGCTCGCGACCTGTATAGCATGTCTGATTGTTGTTTCTGTCTACGCATACTGCAAGAGTCAAAGGCTGACTAAATACATTTTAGTGAACGATAACCTCTCATCCCACCACTACGAAGAGGTGGCAGATATTTCACCAGTTGCTTCCCCTGCCGAGTTAAACAACAACCCATATGAAAATGTGTCAAGTCGTCACCTGATGAATGAAGAAATATCAACCAATCAGGAAAGAGAATTCAGGAGTGTAGAAAACCATGAAAATAACATTCTGTCTCCATTGTATCACGACACCGGAAATGAAGAAAGCGAAAGTGAAAGTAGCTTCCCACCCTACCGGTGTGTTCATTGTTCATCAACTCAGGCAGTGCTGCCGCCCCCTCGAGCACATTCTTTCAGACGCACGAGTAGAGTTCAAAGGTCAAACACTGTGAGTGGTGTATGGCAGTCCTCTAACTGCGAGAACGACAAAAGACCCAAGCATGACGCTGAGGGTACCAGACCCAACCATGTGGGTACCATACCCAACCGTGTGGGTACCACACCCGAGGGTACCAGACCCAACGCTGAGGGTACCAGACCCAACCATGTGGGTACCAGACCCAACCATGTGGGTACCAGACCCAACCAAGTGGGTACCACACCCGAGGGTACCAGACCCAACCATGTGGGTACCAGACCCAACCATGTGGGTACCAGACCCAACCCTGTGGGTACCACACCCGAGGGTACCAGACCCAACCATGTGGGTACCAGGCCCAACGCTGTGGGTACCAGACCCAACCAAGTGGGTACCACACCCGAGGGTACCAGACCCAACCATGTGGGTACCAGGCCCAACGCTGTGGGTACCAGACCCAACCAAGTGGGTACCACACCCGAGGGTACCAGACCCAACCATGTGGGTACCAGGCCCAACGCTGTGGGTACCAGGCCCAACCATGTGGGTACCAGAAACAACTCTGTGGGTACCAGACCCGAGGGTACCAGACCCAACGCTGAGGGTACCAGCCCCAACCATGTGGGTACCAGGCCCAACCATGTGGGTACCAGACTCAACGCTGAAGGTACCAGACCTAACCATGAGGGTACCAGACCCAACCATGTGGGTACCAGACCCACCATCCCGGCCTGGTGGTACATGAATGCGAGCGCTCTTGCGAGACGTCAGACCTCATCGGTTGGGCAGACATCTGTCACCCAGAGATCAACTGTCAATCAAACTTCAACTGTCACTCACGTGTCTCCTGGTAATCAGGCTTCACCTGACAAACTACATACAGCACCCGACAGACAGACTTCACCTGTCCGATGGATGGTGCCTGTAAACCATAAATCACCTGCCAATCAGGTCTTACCTGTTGAACAATCGAACTCGCATCGAGAACAAACCGTCCGTGTTTTGAAGAAATCTGTTGCACAAACATCCGTCAGTCAGAAAATAGATGAGACACAGATTTCGCCTTTTCAGCTCAAACTACCAGTTACATTTAGCTCCCTTGTAAATCCCATTCCTTCTGTGACACAGAACTCTACTGTGAAACAGACTTTATATGTCACACAGACTTTACCTGTCACACAGACTTTACCTGTCACACAGACTTTACCTGTCACACAGACTTTACCTGTCACACAGATCTCAAACGTGAAACAAACGTTACCTGTAACACAGACCTCAAACGTGAAACAGACTTTACCTGTCACACAGACTTTACCTGTCACACAGACTTTACCTGTCACACAGATCTCAAACGTGAAACAGACTTTACCTGTGAAACAGACTTTACCTGTCACACAGACTTTACCTGTCACACAGATCTCAAACGTGAAACAGACTTTACCTTTGAAACAGACTTTACCTGTCACACAGACTTTACCTGTCACACAGATCTCAAACGTCAAACAGACTTTACCTGTGAAACAGACTTTACCTGTCACACAGACTTTACCTGTCACACAGACCTCAAACGCGAAACAGACTTTACCTGTGAAACAGACTTTACCTGTGAAACAGACTTTACCTGTCACACAGACTTTACCTGTCACACGGACTTTACCTGTCACACAGACCTCAAACGTGAAACAGACTTTACCTGTCACACAGACTTTACCTGTAACGCAGACTTTACCTGTGAAACAGACTTTACCTGTGAAACAGACTTCACCTGTCACACAGACCTCAAACGTGAAACAGACTTTACCTGTAACACAGACTTCACCTCCGAAACAAACTTTACTTGACACACAGAATTTACCAGTTATGCATATCTCACCTGTGACAAAATCCTCAAATGTAAAACAGACTTTGCCTGTACAACAGACAACACATTTGAAACAGACCTCACCTACAATACCACATCCGTGTGTCCTAGATTCTGGAAAACTTACCAGCGAAGAACTAGCAGAGACTATCATATACGCTGATTACGCCACCCTGACACAATTGCGATAACCCCACAATGCAGAAACTACCCAACCGTGTGAGACACTTTTAACTTTAGTCCATCAAGGCAGATGTAGAATTCCAACACATTATATATCCCATTGTTTCGACAGAATTCATCTTTTCAGACTACCATAAGCCTTAACACGAGGGGATGGGGGGGGGGGGGGGGGGGGGGGGGGCGATAATAGCATCAGCTCTCTGACTGTGTTTTGTATTAAAACTTTCGGTGGTTTTTGTAGCATTCACTTTTTTCCAGTCCTTTTTTCAGTAGACAAGTCTAGTATAAGAGTAAACTCTCTTGACAAGGGTTTAGCACTGGCAATGGATTAACTGTCACGAGATTACCAATGTCAAAGGATTAAATCTACTAATTCATTAGCTTAAACAAAGTATTCATAATGTATATTAAATATGACTGAAATAGCAATAACTAACAAAGTGCGGTTATTCCAACATTTGAAAAAAAAATTCTCAAAAATATAATCTTACTTTTGTATTTACTTTACAAACTTTTAGAAAGATTTTTTTTTAAACTAAATGAAGATGGTGGCTTAATATGCATGTAATGATCTGTCATGAAATAAATATTTAAAAAAAAACTAATGTGTGTTGATGTGTTAGTGTGTGTGATGGGTGCACCCGAGGTTGTTTGTGTGGGTTGTTACAGAGGCCTAGCCCCCACCTCAACCATCTCAGTTATATACGTATTAGCGTAGTTGAAAAAAAATCGTCTACCCCCTTACTTGAAAAGGTCAGGGCGCTTTTTAGCAGTCACTTTCCATTTTATTATGGCTTCACAAAATTGCTGTAAAAAAGAGTTTAGTAAGTCCGTCAAGCCATGTAGGCCTACCATTACAATAAGCTTTTAATACATTTTATTCTATCCGATTAGGCGCTCCCACATGACCCGCCCTCCCCTCGCTACGCCTATGTGTTGATGGTGTGAGGGTAATGCGTAAAATGCTTGTTGGTGTGTGATTTACGTGCCACATCTCTACCAGAGTTTCTTCCAGGCATCTCTTCGGGGTGGGGGGGGGGGGGCGAAAGTCTACCGGTTCCCCCCCCCCCTCCCAATCGAGATGGATTTTATATAGTAAACATACACTTTTAGTAGTGACCGCCCTCCACCCCCCCCCCACCCCCCCCCCCCCCCCCCCCGGAGAAAAAAGTCTGGAAGAAACACTGATCTCTACCCGTCACTCCTGCTCGAATTGGAAACTTATTTCATCAACACTCATAAAATCTTTTCTTGAACAAGAAGACTAGTTTTTTTTTAAATAGAACTTTTACTATGTAATTATATAGATTATATAAATTAAAAAATCAAATGAATAAATTACTATCCTTTATAATCTTTACGAAAAAAATAAAAATCTGTTATCTTACTCAAAAAGTTAAGCAAAAATTTCATTTAAATATCACAAATTATTTTTATTTTCAAAAATGTAGACTCAAGCATACTTAAGGTATGCAACAACATAGCAAGATCTAAATTTATAATTAGTAGTCATACTGGAATAAAACAATCTAAAAGACTAGCTATTCGAATACTCTCATTTTAATTAGGTTTACCATTTTTTAAATGTTTAAATGAAACAAAAGGATAATCATATTTTAGATGACAAGATTTGTGATTTTTTTAAAATTATTAGTTACCTCTCTTTATTCAGGAGTTAGCAAAGTATTAATTAAAGCGTGCCATTTTAAAAAAGACAATGGCTGCTTCCCACAATTAAGCCAGATACTACAAATAATCAATGACATTATACTAAAGTTTTATTTTTTTATGAAACACCATACACACTAAGCTAGATTCTAGATCTATATAAAGATCATGATAATTATAAATTGTTATATTAAAGACCTTTTTACTAATGCTTATTCTAACAGTTTATATCACAGGTAAAATAAAAAAAATTAATAGTGACAAATGCATGTATTAAAAAAATAACTCAATTATAAACATTAGTTGTAAAATGTAACTTGTATGCAAAAGCATTGGAAACAACACTATTATAATTTTCACAAATATAACATTTACACAACAATTACAGTAATTCTTCATTAAAAAGAGCAAAAATATACCTAACATAAAAATAGTTAAAACAAAATTAAATCTCATTTATTTTGAATGTTCTAAGCCTTAACTGTCTATGGTGAAAAATGCCTCATGTCGTTACAATTAATTTGACTCTTAGCTAAATTAAAACAAATGATAATGTCTGAATTTTAATCTTTAAAATAATAAATGATCCTAGGGATAATCTAAAGCTGATATTTGAACTTTCACTTATGCTGTGGGTAACATGGACAAATTCATTGTTTCAAAAACTAGTTTACTTTTATCTTCATTCCATTTATACTGCAACATTTCTTCATTTTTTATTCTCAAGTATTCATTTAATGCACTGGCTATAGCTTGATAATTGTTTTCTTTCTGGGTAGCTACAATAAGTTTATTAAGGAGCTTTTTACTTTCTTCTGGTGCCTTGGACTCTTTGACATTTGAATTTGTATTGGGCTTTTTAAATTCTGCACCTGTATTCGTTTTGGATCCTTTTTGTTTTTCAGTTGCTTTTTTATTAGTCTCATCCTCCTTTATTTCTGGTATCTTAATTTAAGAAATATGTTAAAATAATTAATCAATTTTTAATGTCTGTAATTTTTTTTAAAGACTTTTTAAACAATCAACATATTTTAATCTTTATGTAGTCTAGTAACAATGTAATTAGTGGTGATTATCACACAATAAAATAATCAACAATTATATTGTAACTGGTAAAACAAAATTAATTCTATTTGTGTCACAATTCTGTCCACATATTGTTAAAATCTAATTATTTTATCTACCTTTTATTAAAATCTTAACATTGTGTACATATTTTGTTTAATCATTAATATTTTTCCAACATTTTTCTCTAAACTGATCAAGTGACACTTCACGCTGAAATGCTGACATTGGCGCTTAGACATAAAATATCTTAAACCAACATAATAAAACATTTGCTAGAAAATAAAACAAGAATACTTGATACAAAGAATCAAACTGTACCTTCCTTAAAGATTCCACTATTTGTTTTTCAAACTCAATGCTGACAAACTTTCCAGGAATGTTTATTAACACAACAGCCAATATAATGATGTAAGTTTCAGCTTCTTTAGGTTTTAGAAAGATAGTGCTGCAACATGTGTCCTCCATCTCATTAGAACTGTGAGAAATATTTTGTCATTTGGAAGAAAGCTTTAACATATACATATATAGATTATATATATATATATATATATATATATATATATATATATATATATATATATATATATATATATATATATATATATATATATATATATATATATATATATATATATATATATATATATTTTTTTTTTTTTTTTTAAATTTTTAAATTTATTTATTTATTTATATATATATATGTACAAAATGTACAAAATCAGTGTCATTTTTGTAATGAAGATTTGAATATTGAATACTATTTGGGAATTGTACTAACATTCACTCTGTAATGATAGTTTTTGTTGTTTTATTTCTATCCAAATTGAGAATCAAGAAATTTTTATTTATATTATTTTTTTTATTATCTGATATAGTTATAACAAGGATATCAATTGGCATCATTTGAAAACATGTCTACTTAAGAGTAGAGAGAGGGAGGGGGGGTAAACTTCCCTTCCAGCACATGTGTAAGCTGGAGGAATGAAACAATCAGAAATAACTAGCATGAATTAGTTCAAGGCAAAGTGACTCAGCCATGGAGGGTCAGATCATGCATATCTGTATATCCTGATAATATATAAAAACCCATGTGTGCACTCTCTTTCTCTCTTTCTCTCTCTCTCTGTCCGCATGTCCAGAGCCGAAGAGGTCAGTATCTTTAGTGATATATGCAGAACTTAAAGATATGGACTTTTGTTGTAAATAGTATGGTAGATGTTTTAAAAGTATTAACTAAGTTTTATTTAAAGAAAAAAAAAATAAAGCAATATTTGAATGTAGATTCACTTTTTCAATTGTTCAACCTGAATCGCAATAAACAATGACATCACATGACACTTGTTTAAACTACAGAAAGAACACAACACTAATGGCTTCAACTTCCAAATCTAGATTTTATAAACCTACTTATCAAGATGTACGCTATGAAATGTATATAATTTTCTCAGTCAACTTGAGTCAAGTGAATACAAATTGCTTTAGAAAACAACTTAATGACCATTGAACAGCTGGAATCATTTAAGTCTCTTGATCAGTGTACGCATTTAATATAGTTTTGTGTTGACTAATTATTGATTTAATTTGGTTTTTCTCAAAGGCATTGGTAGCCTATGTTATTGTAAATGTGTCAGATTTTTAGCTATTTAGTTATTTCTTTGCTTTGTCACTAACATTGATCAAAACATATAGCATATAGGTTTTTGACCAGCAACTATTTTTTAATTTATTTTTCCAAAAAAGTATAACAGGAAAAATACATAGGCCTAAAATTCATGGGGATTGGGTACCCATGGTATGTAGATGTAGACCTAGTAGTATTCTGAATTAACAAATGTATCTACTCATTTAAGTTTCTAAATCATGTTTAAAATTTAACTTTTTTAAAATCAAAGACATGTATAATAGTTAAGTTGTTAAAATGGAGTAAGTTTAAAACAAATGTTAACATAGAGCCCTACCTATTTTGTTTAGTTTTGCCAGGCACTCTGATCATTGTGGTCAGAAACTGAACCAGTTTATCAAATTCTTGTGTTAAAGAGCTCTCATCAGCAGCTACACCACCAGTTGCATCCATTGTGCAAGCTTTAGCCAGCAAATACTTTCCATGGTAAGATTTTGGTAAAAACACTAAGCTGCATGGATTTTGTTCCTTGTAAAAGATAAAATCAATTACATTATTTGAATTATATTCCTTTTCACTCTTTCTTTTATTTTCTTGACTTACCTAACTGTTTTGCAGATTGGCTAAACTTTGATAATTACAAAATTAGCATTCTCTTTATTATCTTTAGATAGATATTATCGGTGGTATTTTAAACTTGAAAACATGACCACTATCTGTATCTAAATTTAGAGCACTATGCTTGTAACACATCTCTTTGTCTTTGTTTTTGATTGTCCTCTCAGATGGGATTGCCTCCAACATAATTAAGTATTACGTGTCAACATTTTATGCACCATAATGCCTCACATTTCAGCCTGCTTTTCTTTGAGGATTTGCTTGTCCAGCCAAAAACAATCTACAAGGTAGCAGTTGTTTGATTTTGGATTTTCTTTTGCCTAGATAAACTTTTGTCCACAGCTAACGACCACAAACTTCCACTTGATGGGGGACACACATCTACACATACTGCTCACTAGTCCCTTACGCCTAAAACATTTCTGCCACTTGCTTGTATAGTGTTTTAGAAGCAGATCATAAAAGAAATTATAAGCAGCTACCTCTTGCTTAATGCAACAATAAATGAGGAATCTAATTATTTTTACTAACTCGCAGCATAAAATTATCAGCTTACCTCTGTTTCTATAGTTTTTAACTGTGATTGGTCTGGTTGGTTCTCATCTTTTTTTAATAGACTGAGTTCACTGTCTTTTGTCTTTGCTGCATTCTGGTAAGGATTTTAAATTGTATGCATTATCCAAGGGTATATCCAGGTATTAATATAATATTGTACAACATATAAAAGACAAATTTCATAATTCTACAAACCTTTGTCATGTTGAACCAAATTGAAGAGAGATGAATTTCCAGCCAATAGAAGAGCTGCCTAGTTCCAAATATTCTTATGTAGGAAAAATTTGAAATTATTTTAATAAAACACTGAGTTGAAGCTTCTTCCTTTCCTTCAACCCAAAACTGCAACAATTCTTCAAACGTCAGTCCAAGATTTTGTAAATCTGGTTTATTTTTAGCACTTTTTTCCTGGGAAATTATTTTTAAATGTATAATTTTTATGTTTAGAGATACATTTTTCATGCAGCATTAGGAAATAGAATAGAAATAAAATACCAGACAAGATTAAAAAGAGATTGTAATCTTGAAATAAATTTATGTTAAAATTGCATGAGATTGTAGTTTAAAAAATAGTATTAAGTTTCAGTAGATTTGTCTAGTCTACTTAAAATGAGTACAGTAAACAATTTTTAATAAACCATTTATTATTAGTAGCTTACCATTTTGACAGAGAGCTGCAGTTTCAAGAGAGATGCACAGAAATTGGCTTCAGCAAACTTTTCAAGAGAAGTTAATTTCTTCCTCTTCCAATCATCAACTTGGTCTTGATTGTACTGTATATATCTAGATGATAAAAAACAAATCTTTTCTTAAAGCAAATTTAAACTTTTTATCACTTTGTCTGTGTTTAGTCGGATAAATTATTATATATAAAAACAGTTTGAATATTTACTTGACTACTTCATCCTGAAAATCATTTTTTTTTCTGGCTTCAGCCAGGATTTTTTCTACCATTTCTTCATTATCAAACTTAGGCCTGGAGTGCAAACATTGCAGAAATTGAACAAAATCTTGAATTTGGTCCCATCTTGAATTTTCAGGAATTAGTTTTTTAAATTCTGAGTTGAAACTGCTTGACTTTAGTAGTGAGGAGATTTCATTTAAACAACCATCTAACACAACCTGTTTTAAAATTAAAGGATAAGATTTCATTTCAACAACCATCTAAAACAAAATATAATTAAAATAAATAAAATTCATCCACTTTGATGATTAATAAAATATACATTTAAAAATTATTGTTGCTAACTTTACAAATTTATTTTCAAAAATGTATTGAACTTTTTTTATTTTATGTCAAAATGTGTATTTGATTAGTAAAAAGTTATAAAATTATTTTGTAAATTATTGTTCTATGTAACTGAAGATGTCATTAATATTTAAACAGAAACTTTGATATTTTAGAAAATATGGTAAACATAACTGAAATTATAAAACTTATATTTTGAAAAAGTTTAAAATTTAATTTCTTTGTCTTTAAAATTCTAAAGCTAAACGAGATGGAAAAACAGTTCATAATCTTTAAGTCAAAATGTGGATTGTTTTGTAATCAAGTGACATGTGATTTGCCACAACCATGTCAGACTACACCAGATTTGCCCAGCAAAGATGGACTTCAAATGTCCTATAGACTTGACATGTACCAGTAGTGTTAAGAAAGTTCTTTAGACTGGCATTCTAATTCTTTCTACAGAATTTGTAATTGCATGCTCTAAAAATATCCAACCACCACCCCCTCCACCTTCAGCAAATTAAGAACAATGTTGCTTAATGTTTATAAAGTTTTAATATATCTCTATTTTGACAAATAATATGACATTTTTTATTTAAAAGACTATCAGGCTTACATCTAAATGAAACAAATATCTAAAAATTCTTTTAACATGAGTGAAAGAATTTGGAATAGAACTTACTGAGCATTTCAGTAAATTAAAATTTTCCATATTGTCATAACAGTTGCGCCTGTAGCATTTAATGTTATGCTGCAGCTTACAATTTGCTTCACTGCACTTTGGGTTGCAGCATTTGACACCATGCCACTTCCAGCAATTCTTAGCTTGTTTGAAGACTTTCCTTACATTCACAACAACTGTCTCCAGCCAGCTGAGAATGTGCTGCACTAACAAACCAATGGCCTGGAATATTTAAAATGCTCACATTTTTACTGGCAAAATGTTTGTGTTAGTACAGTGTATATCTTTTAGTACATTCTAGATTAAGTTACAGGCAAAGGGTGAAAATGGCTTTAAAGTTTAAAAAAATTAAACGCCTGTCATTGAAGAGATTTAGTTGCTGTCATTTTTATAAATTTTCTATTAAGTAAACTTTATATGTTTCTATTCTTTATAGCTGATACATATTTTAAGGATGGTGGCATATGGTGATGATGGGTTGGTGGCCTATGGTGATGATGTGAGTGGGAAGCCTATGGTGATGATGTGGGTGGGTAGCCTATGGTGAGGATGTGAGTTGGTGGCCTATGGTGATGATGTGAGTGGGTAGCCTATGGTGATGATGTGGGTGGGTAGCCTATGGTGATGATGTGGGTGGGTGGCCTATGGTGATGATGTGGGTGGGAAGCCTATGGTGATGATGTGAGTTGGTGGCCTATGGTGATGATGTGAGTGGGTAGCCTATGGTGATGATGTGAGTGGGTAGCCTATGGTGATGATGTGAGTTGGTGGCCTATTATGATGATGTGGGTAGGTTTACCTATGGTGATGATGTGGGTGGGTGGCCTATGGAATGTTAGTTGGGGGTTGATAAACTAAAGTCTAAATTTTGAATTCCATTATCAATTAATGCCACTCTAAAAAAGCATGAGCAACTGCATGGTCAGATGTTAGAGCTTACAACTGCTAACATGATAGCCCCAAGTTCAGATCCCAGGCTTAAGACTCACTTTAGGGAAACTAAGGTTGAAATACCCCTCTGTATGCCCAGGTCATAGAAACAGATGAAAGTCTAGTACAGGTGTGGGCAAGCTGTGATTAGAGAATTAAGTTGCTACATTGTTAATTTTAAAGAAATAAAATTCCTACATACCTTAGTCACATTCACTGTAATAGTGAAATGATTTTCTTTATTTTCAATGTCATTATTTAGTCTGGAATAGATTGAATATTCTGAAGGATGATAGCTGACTGTATCTAGCTTAGAGTTCAGAGTTAGACCATAAAACTCCAAGTACATCTTAAAAACATCTCTTTTGTCCTTTCCTAATAGTATTCCAATAACCTGCAATATAGAAGTAGAATAAGAAGCAGACATTTTTTTTTTATTTCTACTTTCCTAAAATAATCAGCTGTTATTGTTTCAACAAAAGTGGCTGGCTGATTCTTTTAACCAGTCCTTACCCCTCCCCCTTTTTTTAAGGAGAGTGAGGCATTGGGCTAAATAGAAATATAATATTTATAATTTTAAAGTAACTGAATATTGAAAGTTACATTTTACTATGTTGTCTCACAATAAAAATACTAGTGTAACAAAACAGTTCATACATTCTTGCCCTGAACTACTGTTTGCAGAATAGCATTGCAGTCTTTTGAAGTGGCGTGGTGAGCGCCTATGTTTTGGCACTCACGAAGTTGGCATTCAAGTAAACCTGCAGCGTTGATAGGCTGGCCCTTCTTAAATGCTGACTTGGCTGAAATGACAAAAGGCTTGGGTTAAAAAAATTCTTCTTTCATTTTCAGGTCACGCTATTTATAAACATTCTGTTATCGCTAGATTGTTTTTTTAAAATAAGAAGTTGTCAATATATAATAACGGGGGAGTTACTCTAACTTAGTGGCGTAGCGAGGGGGGGCAGGGGGTGCGGATCGCACCGGGTGACACTATTTAAAGGGGTGACACCAAGGCAAAAAATAGCAAAATATATAGAGAAAATAATAATTCCACTTAATTAAGTTATTAATTCGAGTGTTAAAAACTCTTTTAAGAGCAAATTTGACAAATTGGAAGGGGGGACGCAAATTGAAAGTTTGAGGGGTGGGGGGGTGGGCAAATCAAAAATTGAAAGTTTGTCCCCTGGCACCGGGAAGGGTCGTTAAGCCTCTGGGGGGTGGGGGTGACACCATTAAATGCCGCACCGGGTGACACCCGACCTCGCTACGCCACTGCTCTAACTTATGTATTGACTACTAGATACTTGGGATGAGTGAGGGTGTTTAGAAAATCTGGTACCTTTTGCATATTTTAGACAAAATGTATGTGAAAAAAACTTAATTTCATTTTTAATTATGATAATCTTATGGGGAGAGGGTGAAAATTAGTGATGTAATTTGGGAAGGGGTCCTGTCTTTGGTGATGTGCAATTTAAAACGAGAGCGGTAGAAAATCTTTGCAAAAATTGAGGGAATCATATATTAACAGCCCCCAATATAAGAAGATTACTCACTTACTATAAATAGTTTGATTATCAAAAACAGGATTTCAAAATGTGTTTAGTGTTTAGTCCACTGAAACAAATCTTATCAAAATTTTGTGCAACTCTGCTTTAAATAATGAAGTTGTTTTGTACAACAAAAGTAAATTTATTTATTACAATATTTTTGTGACTTCATTTTTAAAACAAACTGCTGGCATAGCTTTGTGCTCCATCATCCTGTGTAGACTTAGAAAATTGAAATTAACAACTTCTTCAATTAATCTGTTAGTTTACTCCTAAAATATGTTTTTTTTAAATTTTTAACTTTTTTTTTAATTTACTATTCTTTTAAAATTTAGCAAAAACATTATAAAAGATACAAATTAAAAATTTAAACATATTTATAGGTCTAAATATCAGTCATCAATACCATGGCAACCAGTACTGCCATATGCGGCTATATATTATTTTTGTCTATAGTTTAACAAATATTAACATATGAGTTTATCAAACACCCTGAAACATGTTCAATTAAAACAAAACATTTTAATCTGCGGTGTCTAGCCTTAAAATAGGTCTAAATTTCAGTCATCAATTCTCACCACTTTTTATTATATCAGGATCTGCTGCATAACATCCAACCAAAAACTTGACCTGAGCTTCACCATTTGAGTCCCCCAACTCACAATAAACATTTTTAGCTGCTGTTGCAAATGTCTGGATTCTGTTTTCATTTTCTTCTTTCCGCTGTAGATTTAAGATTAGTTATCATTTTCTCAATTTAACAAGATAGATTTTAAACTTGTTAACTATAATCCAACTAAACAAAGACAGCAATAAATATTTATTATGGAGAAACTTTGACGATATTAATTTAGTGAACTAGGAACTTTTTAAAAAGGATAAAGAAGATCAATAACAGATGTATAATATATCTTTACACTAAAATTGTATCAAGAGCAATGTAGCCTTTAAAACTTTTAGAATAGAAGAAATCCTTTTCACATCTTTATCTTATAAAGTAAAAATGAAAACGTCTTACTTCAGTTAGTTGCATCTGCAAGAATTTCCTCAGTAGAGACATGTATATAAAAGCCACTAAAGGCTTGTGAAATCCCTCTTTGGCATACTGTAGGGCACTGTCGTATTCCCCAGTCAACAACATACACTCTGCAGCTTCTCTGGTGTTACCTAGTAAAAAAATTTATACTGCTGCTGTCTACAACATTAATTTCTATCAAAAATGTTTTTAGTATTTCTGAAAATGGGTTTTACCAAAAAGTACGTTACATCCTAGACCTAGTGAAATTAAGGGTAGGGGCACAAATGACATTTAAGGGGTGGCAAATGTGGAGGTTGCCCTTAACCCACTCTTCAAGGGAGTAAAAGCTTTATTTAAAACATGAGCAACAAAAGCAAATGTTGCACTTAGATAGCACATCATATTAAGCAAATTATTTTCTGAATCTATGTCTTCACATTAAAACTTATATTGGACAACATAATGTAGTTAATAGGCCAAATAATCATCAGTTTTTTTTGCTTTACAGAAATTAAAAACTGTAGATTGCAAATTGAAGAAAATGTTACAAGTGCAATTCAGGTAGTTTTATCCAGCCATTTTGTGTGTAAACAGTGTATACAGCATCATACCAATGAAGATGGCTACTTATACCCTTGCTTCAGGTACAAGCAAATTAATGACCCCTGGTCCTACATGGATAATCATATTTCATATTTTCCCCTGGGTTGGGGTTTCTGATTTATAATAATCATCTATAAAAGGTTATTGGGGGGGGGGGGGGAGGTAAAGACAATAAGATGCAGCATTTCAGAGAAATAAAAATTAAAAACAAGACCACTGAGTATAAACTGGGAGTAAGAGTCAAATTGACTGATGTCAATTTTATGACCCCCCCCCCCCCCAATGATAAACTAGACCCCACATTTCATACTGACCTAATTCTCTCTGCAACAGTGCCACATCTAGCCACATCTCCAGTTGTGTGAATAGATCAATCCTCTCCCCTGTCCCAGGCAGCATTGAGGCAATAGACCTCACTTCAGCTAGTTTACCTTCATCCTTGCAGAGCTTAGCTTTCCTGGTTAACATTTTAAAATACTACCATATACACTTACACAGACAGCCATTAACATATAGATATTATATATATATATATATATATATATATATATATATATATATATATATATATATATATATATATATATATATATATATATATATATATGACATATAAGCATAAATATACAAAAATAAATGTATAGACACACCCTAGGAATGGACATATAGGCCTAATCATTGACATATAGACATAGATATAGACATTAACATTTAGATATTGACACACAAATATAATGTCATACAATATAGACACATACATATGTAGAAATACAGAAATGGACAGTAATGTCTGCTTTACTATTTAAATAAAATAGCTCTTTTTAAAGTTTTTACCTGAAGAGTATTTTGGACCGCATGTTTTTTTGAGGTTTACACTCCAGAAGTTCCTTTGGAATTTTTTTGTCCTGCAGTTGCTAAAAAAATATTCATTACAAAAATGGTACATTTTTGTCATGTTTCTCACATTTGTAACTCAATAAACTGACAAGAAAACTACCTCTATAAGTGTGTTGTATCTCTCCAGACACTCTAAAGCTTCATCTAAATAATCACGTGCAAACAGCAGATCTATAGCTTGATTGTATTTGCCCATTGTTTCCAAACAGCGACCTGCATTTATAACTTCACCGCACCTTATATAGTGTTCAACTGCAGTTTGAAACTGTCAAAAAATTAATTGGCACGTATACTTGTTGCTTCCCTAGAGCCTGACTGTTTGAACTACACTTTTCAAACATGTTCACAAGGCTTTAAATTATTGTTTTGACATTTATTGGTGAAATTGAAGGGATATGGCCATGGAATTTTTCTTCTTGTTTTTATTATAAAAAATTATTTTATTATTATATTATTGTAAAAATGTATAAATCTTGATAAAGCAAAAAAAAATAGAGCCTGGTTCTAGGGAAGCAATGTGTGTGTAGGTTGTATGCATGCTAGTATGTATGTATGCTCATTTAAATTTTACCAAAGCAGGTTTAGAAAATAAAACTAAAATTCTAAATGTCAACTCCTTACATCACCATTTTTCTCATTGAGTGTGGCGGATAATGAGAATTCTTCAACATGTTTCAGACAAGTGGCTGCCATCTTTATTTCATTCAGTTTTACAAAAGAGATTGCTGTTTTTATAAATTCAGACTTTGAATCCAGTGGATTTAGCAAGTTGCTCAACTCTTTAAACTTTGCAAAAGTTAGGGCCTTTTCTTCACAAATTTCCTGGTTAGCATGTCTGCAAACAAAAAACAAATTATCATGATTTAGTAAATAGAAAATTTATTTTGAATTAAATTTTAAATTAATTTTTTTTGAAATCTTATTTAAAATAATATTAATATTAAAATTATGCATTATATATACATCAAATTAAAAAAATGTAAAAATATATATTCTTTATTTACTTGTAGCATTTTGCTGCCAAAATATACTCCTTTTTTACCATAAACTCATCTCCACGTTTTTTCCAATCAGTTATGTCTGAAGCTTTAGCAAAGCTCCCTGATAATAGGATTATCATAGGATTTATGCATACAGAAATGATGATTGTATACTTAGGGGTTCATGAATATTATTGAAATGGGAAAATAGATTCATTCAAGGACAACTCAATATTTAATTGTGAGAGAATCAATATGAGAATAAAAACAGATGTGTGATTTAATTGTAATGCTGGGCGTAATTAGTTTTTAACCTTAAATGTGATATTATTAGTGATCTCAGTTTGCTTTTAAACTTTAATCTAAAAAAAAAATTTATGATTTTAATCTTCTACCATACCTGATGAATCAGTAACTAACTTTCGCACTCTGAAATATTCAAACATGGGAGCCCTTTTTTTGTCATCTTCGTCAAATATCCAAACATTAGCTCGAGCTCGGGTTAAAGCTGTATAAAGTTGCTTGAGCTCTGAGCTAAGAATTTTGTGCTGATTTGGATCAAAATCCAAAGGGTGAGGACGGTTAGCATGTTTCAATAGATCTGTAAAGAGGAAAACTAATTTTAATTGTACTGTAGATTTTTTTTCAACAATTATTTAACTTAAGATTTTTTAAAATTTAATACTGTCTCTGAAAAAAATCAATTTTATAATTCTGACATAAATATAATAAATAAAATATTTTAAAAATAACTTTTTTTTACATGTATTATTTCACGAATGTTTACAGTTTTGGTAGTTTTTAGCTTATTACCCAGATTCAAGTCACCTTCACCTTCACACAATGTATTTAAATATTTAGTTACAGCTCTCCATTCAGAATCAGCCTGTCACAAGATATCATAGAAATAATCTCATTATTTCTTTGAATTTGTTTTCATTAAAATGTTACATTTGATTCTGCTTGTTTCATATAAATATTAGATATGTTTCTGAACACACAAAAAACAGTCTATGTTTTAATTTTTTTTAAAGATTTTAACATTACATTTTGTTAACAAAATTTGAAAAAATATGTTTATATATATATATATATATATATATATATATATATATATATATATATATATATATATATATATATATATATATATATATATATATATATATATATATATATATATATATATAATATATTTAAAACACCTACACTAAAACATGCACACAAAAAATTCTAAAAGCTGATGTTTTAAAAAAACATCTGTAATAACATCTGGAGATCATCAACTGTAGTTTTCAGTGAGTTAAAAACTGTACTCTACTTCACTGTGATTTAGAATTATACATCTTTGTATACATTCATATATATATATATATATATATATATATATATATATATATATATATATATATATATATATATATATATATATATATATATATATATATATATATATACATGTTATTATTAGGTACAAAAAAAAAAACTTACAGCAGAGTCTTTGAAAAAGTTGTACAGAAGCACGTCATCAAACTCAAGCCCTTTGGATTCAAATATTGTCAGAACTATAGCATGCTTTAGGTCGTGGGGCAGTTTGTCTTTAGCCTGGTCATTGACCACTAGAATAGCTTGGTCAGCACCAAACTCAATGTGAGATGTCTCCCTGTTGTTTCCAGCCAAAAGTAGAAGCAGTTGCTCTAAAAAAAATTAGACAGAAATAAAAATAGTTTTCTTAAGCTCTGAATTGGTTCCCATGTTAATGAAGAAGTAAAACATTATTTGAAATCTGTCTGGTTGTTTCTTATTGTACCTTATTTGCTATTGTGTTTTAATTATCAGTTATAATAAGCTATATTTTAATATATAGTATATCAATCAATCTGTATTATTTAGTTAAAACTTATTGAACATAAATTGCAAAAGAAAATTTTGCTGTTTTTAGAAGTAAAGAGTTCCAAAACTTTACCAGAGCTTGATGACTCAATAATCGCAGGCTTTGGGCCATCAAACATGCCCTGATCTCGATCCAGCTGATCAAATGATCGAGGAAAAAATTCTTCAAGCAAATCCAGTACAGCTGATGCAAGTGCCAGAATTCCTTTATGTGATCTATAATTGTACTTCAGATGAAGAAGGGGTACCTGTTGCAACAGTATATATTTAGGGAAAACAAAGCCAACAAACTCAGTTCAAGATGGGAAAAGAATGTTTCAAATGAAAATAATAATATTCAAGTCTCATAGTTTATTAAGATGAAAAAGGTAATGACTTTAAATTTAGGACAAGATCTGTAACTGGCAAATTAAACACAACCATGATAATTCTTCTTCAATCTACATTATTATTAGAACATAATGCAAAATCTGTTCCAAAATTTAATTTTTATTAGTAAAATTTAGATGAAAGTTGTTAAAATATGACCAATGCTAAAAATGGGTTTAAATTCTATTTATTAAAATTTACATGGTTGTATGGTAATAGATCTAGATCTATGCAAATAAGGTCTAGAAAAACACTGAAGTAATTAAAGGTAATTTACTTAAATGTGTAATAGATCCATTAACCTGAATATTAACATGATATAATAATAATTAATTCAGATAGAAAAATTAAATTGTGATATTTTAAAAAAAAACGTTGACATGTTTATTAGTTAGCTACTTAAAAGTATTTGCATTTACACTGCAATCTAGTTGCTTCTTTTCTACTTCTGCAGAATGCTTTGTCTGATAAAAAAGTGTTCCTAAGTCCACGAAGCGAAATGATATTCCTTTCAGTATATTTTGGGCAGTATCACCAGTAAGAAACATTTTGTTGACATTTTTACAAAGTAAAATCATAAGTGCCAGTTCAGCTACTGTGAAGTCTTGAGCTTCATCAACATAAATTTCATCTACTGTCCAAGGAAATGATTCCATCTAGAATAAATTTACAAGATTTATGTTAGATTCTTTTTTTTTTATTGTTACGCAATTTATCAAACAATTATTTTTACCCACTAAATTTTAGACTAAAAGTGTCTAATTATGTCATTTGTCTCAATTTCAAATTTGTTATACAATATTTAGGCGCTTCAAGAATGGTGTTTGAAATTATATGCTCTTTTTAGTCTACATACTTTTTTCATTCTCTTGTAAATTTGAAAAACAACATCCATCTCATCAAACATCCCAAGTTGCTTCTTCAATTTTTCATAATGTTTATAGCATTCATAAACAAGAGGGCGGCTTTCAGTAAAATTAGGAGCCTGCTTAAAGCCAACAGCTTCATAATCTTCCAGATTTAAGAAACCTTTTTCAGTGAGTAAAGCCTCTTGCGAACCTTTGATAAATGACATGATCTCAATCCAAACTAGAGAAGGGTGGCAGTTAATCTATGGAAAACAACAAAGGCTGGTTGAGGATCTTAGACACTCAAAACAAGCATGAGAAATTAGTTATACTATATCAAAAATTATTATAATTGTAGGACCTAAATAAATATTTATAAAAATCAGTTTCAACATATGTTGAAATGTGTAGAAGTTGAAGCCACACCATGTCTGGCCTATAAAGTTGAAACAAAAAAGAGTCAATTTTTTTATTTGCCAAATTAAAGTTTTATCTATTGTAATATTTTTATTATTAAAAACACAAATGATGACAGTACCAAACATTAACCTTGATTGATTGAACTATATTTTATTGGTCTGTATAGTATAGGCCTACAATTGGGTATTTAAAAAAATTAATAACATATTTTTAGGCCTGCATTTTAAAAAATATAAGACTAGAGATAAAGAGGTATCTGACGCTTAAAATTTTCAATTTAAAATCTCACACTTTACCACTTGTCATAATTAATAAATGCTAATTAATCTGATACAAAATTGAAACAAATTAACTTAATAAAAAATAAAATTATCAATGAAGTTGATTCATGGAATTAATAGTTTAACTTCAAAGACTCATAACTTTCTGTGTCTTATTTAACCAAAATGAGAGTACCTGAACTTTCTGCAAAATACGTTTCCAAAAGGAAGAGCTAAACACGTCATAAGTGCATTCCTGTTGCTTTTGTTTCCTTTTCCCTTCATTGCTATTCAGTGCTAAAGTAAATAAAAGACATTTTGTATTTCAATAACTTATTAAAAACAGTTATGTATATAATTGTAATCAAAAGAAAATGTATTTAAAATATTAATTGCAAACCCAGTGAGAAATGATTTTTAAAGCGCACATTTTTCATCTCATATTCTAAGATTGTGTGTACCTTCTATATATAACTATTCTTTAAAAAAGTTCATTTCTAACAGACAGCAAGAAAACACTGAAGGTTACTGACACTTGTTGAAATAGGACCAAAATCTCCCTTCATGTTTTAAAGAACATAGCAGTACAAAGCAATTGTTTAGTGAGCTATTTCGTAATTTAGCCATACCAACAGTTTTTTTATTAACATGGAAGGTTGCTAATGCTAGCCTGTAGTTCAGACATACTGACATTTAATTCCTAACATGGAAGGTTGCTGATGCTATCTTATAGTTCATCCATACTGACATTTTTTATTAGCATGCAGAACTTTATTTATGATACTTAAAATCAATAGAGCTATAGGTCAGCATTAGCTTTAAGATTAGGTGAGAGGTAAGTTCATGGTATAAAAACCATTATTAGCAAGGTTAATTAATTAATATATACTTATTTATGAGACACGTGGCCTAGCGGTAGAGAGATAAACTGCTAACCCAAGAGTCTCAAGTTTTAATCCCGGTTCAAATCAATGGAACGCCCGTGAGTCCACTCAGCTCTGATGGGTACATAACTTACATTATGGAAACAAAGGCGGTTGTGCATAGTGACCACACTACCTCTTCATATGTCAAGGTCTCTGAAGCAGATGAACTCTAATTCATCTGCCCCATGTGTATTGATATGATGGTGATATACTTATTTATATTTATTATAGAAGTTAACACACCTGCTTTTTTTATTGCATTCAAACAAGGGTTTAAGGAGCATGGAAACCTAATGTGTATCAATTTTTTACCTGTTTTTTTATTCCCCTCAAGCAAGGGTCTAAGGAGCATGGAAACCCAATGAGTATCAATTTGCTGTTCCCAGCCTGGAACTTCTGTCTTTAGGAAACCATCTTCGTCTCGTGGGAAAAAAGTATTTCCATCATGCACATCAGCTGAGTCATCCAGTAGAAGAAGGAGTTGTTTGGATGTCATGAAAAGAGGATATGCTTTGTCCTCAATGCTCTAGAAAAAAAAATAGTCTTTGTTTAAATTAAGTGTCTTTAAATTACAATTTTCTACATCAAAATTTAAACTAATTAGCTCAAGTGTAGGGTCTAATACTTGAATAAAATTTCATCAGCTAAATGATGTGACATATACAAATATATTTTGTAATGTGCTTTGCTCGGTTCTGGTATTTCTGCTCTCCAAAAAGCAGGTTTTAAATTTTCATATTTTACTGAAGCTTAGGTTTGCAGCTATTGTGATAATAAAATTGACTTGCTAAGTTAAACCTTACCGATAAAGTTGTGGGTAAAGAAGATTCAGGCAATGCGTTGTGCTCAAGTTGAGAACCTAATGCCCGTCGCATCTTCAGAAAACTTTGTCTCATCTCCTCACATAACACAGGATTTTTTGTTACAAATATCTGAAATGGAAGTAACAATTATCATATAGTTAATTATTAATTAATGCTAAAAATCATTTTGATCCAGTTTAAATAAAAAAAACAGCTGTACTGTTGTGTATATAGCTGTGTAAAATGGGTCTGGTTGAGGAAGAATGAAATGGTTGGCCAACAAATGAAAATGGTAGAAATCATTGTAATAACCAGATCTAAAATTTTGAGGTTTTAAATATTTAAACTAACATATGCGAACTAAAAATGTTATGTATTATAGTGAAATACAATTTTTCAAAGTTACAAACAAAATTCAATTTTAAAACAAAATATATTTTAACCATGATAATTTAAATTAATTTAACCTGATGAATATACTTCTGCTGGTATTCTTCAAAACTTTCTTCTTCAGAGCTATTGTTGGTGTCTTCTTCAACTTCAGAATTTATTGGTGATTCTGTTTTTGGGACAATCATAAAAACATATTATTATTCACATATTTTTTTAATTAATATCAAACACTAGTAGTGGCTTTTATTTTTAAATGTAGAGTGATTACTAGAATTACTTGATAATTAATACATTAAACTGACAAATTTTTCTGATGAAAAATAGTAAATGAACAGTAAATGTAAGTTAAATTAATTTAAAAAACAAATTCATTTTTTATTTATGTTAACTATTTGTTGTCACATAGGGCTTATATCTCCAAGATCTATCTATCTCACTTTAAATTTAACTCAGTTGTTCTCAGCAGCATTGTCCTAACACTAAAACAAATATCTTCATGTGCATCACACACTGACCTGGAATCTTGTGGCAATCATTTGATTTGGTGGCCTCAAGAAATCTCTGCCAGAGTCTGTAAAGGCAACATGTTGTTTTTCCCGTCCCACTGCGTCCCAGGAGCATTATTGGTTTTTCCATTTTACAGTTGATTATATCAAATTCTAGTTCAGTCACTTTAAAGGGAAAATCTATCTAAAAAAGGGATGATTTTTTTAAATTTTATTTTATTGATCTACTTAAATATAAGAAATGTTATATTTTTGGTGGAATAATTAGTTGTCATTTAGGTGTAATTTCTATCTAGGTGAGCAAGAAATAAATTGATACTGTGAAGTTCATCACATTATATTATTTATCCAGTTATAACCCAAGAACTACCCTTACAACACTATGAAAAACAATTCTGCTTTGGTCTTAACAGGATTTAATTTCCAAAAAATAGTTTAAACATCTATGCGAAATTACACCAAAAACAAATGAGTTTAATTTAATTGATTAACAGTTTTAATTTTTTTTTTTAAATGCCTATAACTTACACAGGGATTCTAATGAAATGAGGATGAAGATGATAAAAACAATCTTTAATGCTACCTCAACAAAGTTGCAGTCTAAAATTGCAGATACCATAGTTGGTGCGAAAGAATAAAATTTCATTATATGAAACTCATTTTTATGAATACTCGTTGGAAGAAATAATTTGCGCATGCACATATTTGATTCCTTACAACCATCAGGACGAGATTCAGAAAACAGTATTGGTATTCTCTGAGCAGATTCCCAACCAGCTGTATACCCTACTAGTGTTTTCTGAAACATGTTAAACAAATTAGTTTATTCAACTTTTAAAAATGCATATAGACCTAATATTTTTAAATATTTAAAAAATGTAATCATGCAAGTGATAGGAATAGATTAACAAAACAAATTCTTGATGCAGAAAATATTTTATTTTAAAAATAAACCATAAACTCAATTCAATAATCTGATAAATATCTGACAATATAAATGAAACAAATTATAACTTTGTAAGAATTCATAACTTACCTGTATAAGAGATGTTTTCCCTAGCTTGTGGGAAGTAACGATCTTCTGTACAGTGGCTTCTAACTCTTTTTCCTTTAAAACAATATCCCACAGTCTTAAAACTTCTGAGTATACTTTGTCTGTGTTTCCTTGTAGTTCATCTGTTGCACCTAAAAGACTTTCTTTGCTACATCTTGGTGAAAATGCCACAGCTACTTCTATCAGTAGACAAAAGCCATGTGGGAGATCAACTGTAAAGATCTCCAATGTGTCAGGAACTCCATTCTCCAAAATCTGGAAAATTAACTTCACGTTATTTATTACGCAATGAATGAATCTTTTACCTAGTTGAAAGCTGGGGTAAAATATCAAAGTATAATGTAAAATAGTTATACTATACAGGTATTGTTATCTCCTTTCTTTTTTGTTCTTTGTAATATTGAATGGGTCGTCCTCCTACAGTTTATTATTCAACATGTTTTGCAACATATGTCTTCAGCCTGTTTTTCTTTCTGGATTTGCTTCCATAGCCTACCCAAGGACAATCTGCAAGGCATCAGTTGTTTGATTTTGGATTTTTCTGTCCTATATAGGTTGTTGATCCCAGGGGTCTGTTTTAGCAATTATTTGTTCCACTGCCCAATCACATCATCGGAAAGGTATCATTGTGATATGTTTATTTTTATACCAAGTAGGTTACCATTAAAAAATTGTGTTATTGTTTAAAATGTATAGTTAACTTGATTGAAAGAATAATATTAATGCTACCTGTTTTTCACAGTCAGAAAATGCAGATGCCAATTGATAAATCTTTCTGATTACATATTGTTTAAAAGAAGATTGGGAGAGTTCTTCAATGCTTCTTTCACTTATGTCCAATAGGCCTATATGTAGCTTTTGATCTAACTGCACTTTCAACACATTCCAAAACCTTTCTAGAATTGGGGAGGTGATAAGAGAGTATTAATTTGATCAATCCTAGCATTAAAATGGTTTATACAATTGCTTGTTATTTAATTTGTAACAAGAAGATATGAATACAAAAATATGGAACAACAAATTTATTTCAATTTTTAAAACCTATACTTTCAAAAGGCTTTTATACTTTGTTTTCAGTGCACTTTATGAAATAGCATTGTTAATTAATGTTTGAGCCATCTAAAATAAAAACTTGTAAATATAATACAAACACAAAAGTCTAAATTTCAATTTAAAAATAAGAGCTACCTGTGCATTCAATTTCCCAAGTTAACTCATCAAATTTTGATGGTTCTATAATGGTGATTGTGTCATCAGTGATAATCTCATCTAGAGAGCAAGAGTGTCCAAGAATAGAGTTATTGATGTTTAGGTCTAATGGTTGTAGGATAGTGATACAGACAAAATGCCAATACAGGCTTGGACACACTATGACAAAAGCATTACACACGAACACATCACATAGAAAAATAAAAGGATAACAATGCTAAAAAGACTACACAGTGTAAGGGCATACATAGTTTTCTAAAACTCATTTCAAATATTATTGCAAAAAAGTGTTAAAAATTGAATCTTTTCTTTGAGAAATTTTCAAACAAAACAAATTATGTTAGTATAAAAAGTCACCTTTTTGTGGTAGAGTAAAAATATCTACTCCAGTAGCTAAAGAAGTATGGACTCTCGTTAAAAATCCATTATTAGCATCAGGCAAAGCACTAAACATTGCCTGTGCTCTTATTGAAATCTGTAACGTCAAAAATAAAATTTATAAAATGATGTAAAAAAACCATCACAAATGAATAATGATTACATTATAATCTGAATAAATTGTAGCAATTGTTTTCCTTAATATATATATATATATATAATTATATATATATATATATATATATATATATATATATATATATATATATATATATATATATATATATATATATAATTATATATATATATATAATTATATATATATATATATATAATTATATATATATATATATATATATAATTATATATATATATATATATAATTATATATATATATATATATATATATATATATATATATATATATATATATATATATATATATATATATATATATATATATATATATATATAATTATATATATATATATAATTATATATATATATATAATTATATATATATATATATATAATTATATATATATATATAATTATATATATATATATAATTATATATATATATATATATATATATATATATATATATATATATATATATATATATATATATATATATATATATGCTTAAAGGCTATAAATCATAGATTACCTGATTTAATGCATATTGTTTCTTTTTATCAGTAGAACCTAGGCGTAAATAAATTTTTATTAAAAAAGGCAATGCAATTTTTGTTATAAAATTACTGAATAGCTTACAAAATATCTTCTATTCTCCACTTTTGTTACAAGTGGGTAATTTTTAGTTGAAAAAATTTCCTTTTTGAATCTGATGGTCCTTGAGGCAATTGAAGTAGATTTTACCTGTTTCTGTGACTTCGGATAGTGTGGTTTGCATTATGCTAAGCCACCTTGATTTTCCCATCAGGTACCCATCAGAGCTGGTTGGATTACAAGACGTTCTAAGGACTTGAACCCAAATTAGAACTGTCCCATTCTATACATTTAGGTAGATTGAATTTTGAATTTTTCCTAAAAATGAATAACTACAGTGTGTCTTCACCTTTAACACTTGTTAATATGGGTTTTCTTTTATCATCATCAGACAGATATGAAATAGGCAGCTTTTTTACTTTGTTTTCTTTTTCTGTTGGAGCATCGTGATCAAACAATAGTTCTAAAGCTTTCATAGAGTTCTCATTACAACTTGCCTGTTGATGGTAAAAATGATACAACTTTTTTAGCTACAGTAATAAATGATGGGATACTTTCAAAAACAGTACTTTTAACTCCATAGTGACTTCAACTGATTCAGTTTAAGTTAAATTATGTCCTTTGTCACCTTATCTGTAGACCATAATAGCATTTTATTTGTTTATGGAATCTCATTCATTTAACTTCTTTGGAAATGCGTGTATCAATAAAAAATCTCAATACTTGATGGACTTAATGTATATGTTAATAATATGTCTTTGTTTATATGAAGAAACTTATTCTAATACAGATTGAATTAAATTCATATAGACAGCATTACCTGAGCTACTAAATGCATTAAAGTATTTCCCTCTGAATCAATAGCATTAATGTCCAAGTGTTTGTCTTTTTTATGCATTTCTAGAAGTTTCTCAAAAATAATAAAACTTCCTGAGAAATAAAATAACAAAAAATGTGTTTATCCAAAGGAGAAGTGTTCTTCCAAAATGCTAAATACTCTCCAACACTTGCATACTGAAATTCTAACCTGGGCCCCCTCTCAGTGCAATCTTTAGAGCTTCATGTAATGGACAATCTGTTTTAGAATTCCATTTCAAAAACATGATACAGAGCTGAAATATGTGAAACCAAATTAGTCGCAGAAAATTTTTTTAAGTTTTTGAGTAACTTGAGATGTGACTGAAGGCTATCAAGTACTTGTTAAATTTTGATCTGCTAAACAGGCAAATAATATAATAGTAACACTGGGTGTTTTCCAACATTAATGCATTTGACTATGTTGATATTTTTTACAAAATCAGTTATTTATTTGGTTTTAATTTTACGAATTTTTTTACCAAGGTTTTATTTATGAAATTTATTCCTTGCAGTAATTAATACATTTTAAAATGTAAGCACCTTCCACTCTTGCATTTGTATGCACACATCTAGGAAAGTATTATCAGCCACAGCTCCAAATTTGAGAAAAAATAACAGAATTTTAACTTTTTCCTTAGAATTCCATTTCTCATGCAGTGAATTTAAAACAGTCAACAGTGTCAGAGAAGATGCAAAGTTTTGGATGGACTTTTCTTTTTGATACAGGTTAACTAATGTAAAAATTTCTTCCCATTTCTGAGATGCTATTAGAATTTTCAGAATTTTTTTCAAACTTTCAATGTTGATGTCATGAAAAAGTGAGGCATTTGCTGAAATGTAGAAATAATATTGCATATTCATTATAATAATTTTAAAAAAAATTTTTTTTAAATGTATGCCTCAATATCTAAAAGACAAAAAGTAACTTAAAATGCAAATTCTAACTTTATAACAATACAGTTTATTAAATAAATTTTACCTCCTGAAATATATTGTGGAAGTAAAGATGATAAAAGTTTTACTTCATCCTCTGTATGCAGTTGTTTCTTTAAAAGAAATTTCATCTCTGTAAAGTTAATAGTTAATAATCAACTGTTTTATTTATATAAAAATGAACTAAATGTTTAAGGAACAGAATGGCTATTTGATAGGGCAAAATACTTCTAAGTTAACCCATGAGTTCTTAAGTTAGCAGGCGCATGCTGTAGCTATAGTCTGACCACATAATCACTTCATATTAATAAATGTGAACTCTAATTCTTCTGCACTATTGAGGTAAGGTATACTAGGATAATGTACTTATGTGATTATTACACATTTTAACAATTTCCTGATGACTAATTTTTATGTGCATGTGAGCTAATGTGGGCTACATCAGAAGGTGTCATGATTTAGTTTTTATAAAAAGGAAGGGAGGATAAAACTAAAACTTAAACACACATTTCAAAATGGCTGATCATTTTTTTTTTTGGTAGTGCTTATTAAGCAATCAGAAAAGTTTACATAATTGCCAAATACAGAAGCAATAACCTGTTTCTTTTAAGACTGACATTTTTTCAAAATAAATCTATTTATGTAGTTAATAAAAAAAATGAGACGCCATTGAAAATACAGGGTTTTTTAAAGACCACTCGTTTTTAAAGAAACAAAATTATGCTACTTTAAAATTGCTAAAAAAAAAGTATTGTATTACCTGCTTTTAAAAGAAGATCTCTGATTTCATCTGACAGATCACAAAGCTCTGATGCAAGTTTTCCATTACAGTTTCTTGCCCGTACATCTACCCTTTCTTTCAGAAAATATTCTACAAGTTCTTTTCTCCCTTGCATTGGAAATTTTGTCTCCTAAAATAAAATTGCATTCCACTTTTTACATTATTATAGGCCAACACCTTTTGACTTTCTATTACTTAAACATCTAGACGTCATGAATTTAACCTTGAATTAAAATTTTAGTTTACGAAAGGATATAATATTGAGGCCAAATTAAGATTTAATTCAATCTGACAAAACTTTAATTAATGAGTTAACGATTCACTTTTAGACTGAAACATAATTTGTATCACATTTAGACTTAAAAGAATGTTGAAAAACAGAATAAATTTTATTAATAACAGCAGTAAATAATTAACTTGTATTTGATGTTCAAAAACAGAATAATTGTTATAAATAACAGCAGTAAATAATTAAATTAAAATTTCAAACTGGCCAAACTTACTGGATCAGACAAAATGTGCAAAACTGTGTTTCTATCTCGATCTCTCAAAGTAAGATTTTCTTTTTTCATCCCCAACCTCAGTAGTTTTTTAAGTAACTCATTGTCTTTTAATGCATGAGAACATTTCACAGCTGCTTCTAGGAAAGTATCACCAGCATCATATTGAAAACTTTCAAAACTGGTTCCCATGTCTAAAAATAACAAGAGCAGATCTCCTAGCCACCTGCAGATTGAAAATTTTGTTACATTTTTTAAAGATTTCATGTAATATTTGAAGTAAAGAAATTATATATTTAACTTAAAGAACATTAAATGCCTTTTCAACATTTTATTTTTGAGATTGGAATAATGTTGTATTTGAGTATAAGAAAAAGCTACAAAACATTATCTGGGTTAACAATGCACTCATAAGCAAATAGTGTTAAGGTTAATTAAAGTTAAAGTCGATCATTTGTTTTTATAACTGTTTAAACCAAATTAATTTAAAACAACAGTATGTTGCATGGAAGTTGGATTTTTTTTAAATATGCAGATTTTCAGTAACAAACATCTAAAATCTTATAATATTTCAAATAAATTAACTCACTTTTCAGGGTTCAAAGCTATATATTGACAAATGTATTTGAAATCAACATCCATGTTGTGTAAAGTGCCTGAACATTTCTCTCCCCATTCAGCAGAAAACCTGGCAAACTCCCAGTTGCCTTCTTGTATAAAAGCATAAGCCACTCTAAACCACAAGTCTTTAGTAGAATTTTTCAAAGTTTTGCATAACAAATCTCTCAGCTTTGCTGTGAAAAAAATTGTTTAGAATTTAAAATTGTTCAAGACTTACTTTAAACAACAGCACACTCTCTTCACTCTCTGAAAAGGTGGTAAACAGGAATTAATAATATAATAAATTCAATAAACAGATAAATCTTTTATTATATTATTATAAGATTTTTAGAGTCACCAAGAATTCATTATTTTAGCTGAGCAGCACTAGATAAAACTTAAGCAGGAACTTTAGTTAGATTAGTTTCATTAAAAGCAAAAGCGGATAAAAATATTTAATAGTCAATAAAATAATGTCATTAAAAAATAATCAAAAGGTTTATACTGTCTTGTTCCGTCATCACCAATGCCTCTTTCAATATTTGACACTGAACATCAATTTTACTGCAAAAACAAGCATTGGCAAAAGCTATAATAGCCTTTCTTTTATCACCCATAGCAACATGAACTTGAGCCTTTTTTAGATGAACCTGCAATGCAGTAGAATGATAGTTTTAATAAATAAAAGATGGAGATGTAAATTAGGGAACATTAACACTCAGCCCACTGAATAAACTATGCATCAAATAAGAATGAAAGAACAAAAACATCTATGTATTTAAGTTTATCAAATACCTCGACATTGGTATCATCCAAGTTTAAGCTTTTTTCCAGATCTTTTAAACAGTTTTGATAGTTCTCATCAGCTTTTTCATATTCCCAACAATCTGATCTTTTGCTGTAAAGTTTAGCTAGATTCCTTTTTACTTTTCTTTTTGTAATAACTGGAATTAGTTTTAATTTATTTCAATATTTAAATCATGTTTTCAGATATATTTTTTTTTTACTTTTGTTTTCTTTATAAGATTATTTAATAATGATTATAAAATAATACCTGAACTTTTCAAAAATTCTTCAATTGCTTGTGAGTAAATCTTTAAAGCTCTTGATTTGAAACCATTTTTGTATTCTTCATCACCTTTTAGCATTATTTTGTGCCATGATCCTACATACTCCTCATCAGTATTTTCAAGCTGAACAGCAGTAGGACCCAAGACCTCATTGTTTACTAAACCTGGATAACTTTTTCCAGAAATTAAAGGTTCACATGTACTGGTTATCTTTGTCTGGGATGTTTCTAGAAGAATAAAATGTAGCAATTATCAAATTATACAAACTTTTAGTACATTTTAACAAATATTAATTTAAAAAGACAGTTATATGAAGTGAAGATTGAAATATTAAAATTTTGAAGCAAAAGTAGCATTTAAATATTAAAAGAAAAGACAAAGTTTGTTTCAATGTTAATTGTTTTTAAAGCTGTAAAATTTAGGAAAATTAAAGTATCATAAAAGCTACTTCCAGAAAAAAAATGCACATTTTTTCAGTGTCTGTATAATAAAAACAAAAATTCAAATTTGTTTTACATTTTTAATTTTATTATTATTGGAATCTAATTTTCACCAAGCTTAATTGATTAAGTTTCTATTCAGACTAGAAGATTAGCATACATACTTTCTATTATTTTATATGCAACAATTGTAGGTGTTTAACTATTGATAGTTATAATTTAAATACATGTTTAAACTTTTTCTAACTTTTATGAATAAAAATAATCTTACCACTTATTAGTTTCTGTATTCCTTCCTTTAAATTGGATGAAGTCATTAAATAGTCTGTTGCATATCTGTTGTATTGGTCCTTTATTTTTATGCTGACTCCACTTTTTAGAAGTATTCCAGCTAGCTCTAAAAAAAAATTCTCAACAATTTTTTTCCTTTCAGCTTCGACACATAAAGTATGGAATGGCGTACGTCCTTCAACATCAACACATGACAAAACCTCATGCTTCACATCCAAATCCAATATTAGTTTTAAATTTGTGATGTCCACTGTGAGAAAAGTACAAATAAAAAAGTTATTCAAATGTTAAAAAGAATTGAAAAAAAGATTATAATAAAATTATATTTTATAAAATGATATTTGAAGATAATTGTTCAATTCAAGTGTAATAAGGCCTACAATTTTTAAACCAGGCAAAAATTTGTTAATTCAATTTTAGCACTTTCTGTTAAGGTTGATTGATATCCATGACCAAGAAGTATCAATTTAAAAAAATTCAAATCTTGGAATAATAAACAATGAAGGTTAATATAAAAGTAACAAAAAGTTTAAAAGAAAGTCAAACCTACTGGTGATACAACTGAACCTGATGGCAGCATGAAAATGTGTTTCCTTAACAGAAGCTGCAAGACTGTTTGGGTTGGCTCCATTACGCAAAAGTTGTGTCAAAACATTCGGAGCATCGAAGTCTTCAGATAGAGCATGAAAGATTGTAAACAGTGTTGCTTCACTGGCATCTATGCTGGTGAATATTCTGCTTTTTGAACTGTCATGAGCTAAAAATAGAAAGATTTCATTCATCAAAGGCCTAAGTTTATAATTGTTAAAAAATATATTTTTATCTTTATTACAAACACATTGAAAACTATTCGTTTTAGAGTTTAGTTTAAATTTTAAAATTTTAAAACAACTCAATAGGAATTTTAACATAAAACTTAGTTTTTGTACATTCCACATTAGCTACCTTATTTCAACATACAATTTAGTCATAATGTCATTAGTTCTCTTCAAGTATTTTTATTTCTATCAATAATTCCCTAACAATACTTATGTGCAGTTACCATTATTTCCATCAGTGGTTCCTAAAACAAAGTGGCTTAGACATTTCCAAGACTGCTTGGGTGGCCAGGATTTGCTTTTTGATAGATAACCTATTATTTCTTTACTGCTGTGAGTCAGCATGAATTTCACCTTCAGTGCCATTGAATGCCAAGTTTGTGCTGTTGGTTTAGAATACAATCATTCCGAAAAATAAAAAAAGATACTTAGATCTTGATTTTTAAAATCCCAATTTAGGTTAATTTCAGTTCAGGCCTAGAGTCAGAATTTGAATTAAGGCTAGGGTTATGGCCAGAGTTAGGACTAGGGTTTTGGCCAGAGTTAGAGCAGTGACACTAGCCAGAACAGTTTTAATCATCATGCAACATAGAATATCTAATAACTAAAATAGAATGCAATGGTTTCAATATTTCATCACCTATATGCAGCTGATAGAGTGAAGTTTTTATGCACCATATTAATGTGATTCATGATTTCAACCAAGTTTATATGTTCCTATGATTTACAAAGGGAGGGGGGAGGGATATTGCTTCCGTCTCTCTTTCAAATATCATGCACAAAAACAGTGCTATTAATGCAAATGCTGTTCATGACATTAGATTGCTTCATTACCCATTGTTTTTATACTAAAATAAAATATTATTTTACAGTAGTTGTTTCTGATGGATGTTTCTATATGGCAAGTGATATGGTAAGGGTTGGTTTATGAATAATATATGAGAGGTCTTTGTCCTTAGTCAGATAAAAAAAAACTGTTTATTTGATAAGTGTTAATGATAAGATTGATTTAGAAATAGTAATGTATGTTTGCCACCAAATCTTACAATGTAGCCTACAACTAGAGGATATGTAGGTCCACAGCATAAAATGTTTTTAACTTTCAAATATTAAAACCTTAATTCTAAAAATAAAAACAGGACAAAAATTACCAGGAACGAGTAGAAATAAATCTGTCGCCATTTTACAGAATGTGATTTTATCTTCATGAGAACAACATTTTTTGAATCCAGAAATGTAAGCATCTATTGCTTCTGCCATGCGGTCTAATTTACATAAAGCCTTCCCCTTGTGAAGATAGTTCTGTGGAGTAATTTTATATAGATCATAAGCAACAGATGGCTCTTGTTACCTCATCCCCAAGCATTTCTCTTATGCTAAAAGTCTCTAGTTTAGTTCTCTGACTCAAGCCTGTTGGGCAGGGGTTCCCAACCCTGTGCCCGCGGGCGCCATGGCGCCCGCCGAACGATTCGTATGTGCCCGCCTCTCGCTATTCGACAGAGACAGATTTTTTTTCATAAACATTATTGAAAGGTTGAAGAGGGATGGAAATTGAAAGTTTGAGGGGTGGGGGGGGAGGGGGGGGTGCTAGTAGAAAGTTTGAGGGTGGGGGGTGTAAATCGAAAGTTTTGTCCCCGGGCGCCGGGAGGGGTCGCTACGCCTCTGGAAGGAGTTTGTCGATTTAAAATAGGTGGTGCCCGCCTCCCTACTGATATTTTACAATTTGCTCTAGAGTAAAAAAAGGTTGGGAACCCCTGCTTTAGGGTAACTACCTTATTTGTCAGGAAATTTAGATTGACAGCTTATGCAGTGGTAAATGAAAAAAGAGAAACTCTACTACATCTGCTACATGTGGCCTATAAACCAGAGATTCTTTACCTGGGTTCGATCAAACCTCAGGGGTTCAGTGGAGATAAAGATGCACACTCAACTAATATGATTCAAGATCTGATTTTGTCAGTTTGGAACTAGAGGGGTCCAGTACTTCCCAAAAGGTTAAGAATCACTGCTATAAACTATCTTGATAGCATACATAATTAACTTGCACATAAATGATAAATAAGTTTTAATGAATGTCTAATTTTATTTTAAATAATTTAAAACAACTTTTACATAAAACAAATAAATAAATCAAACCTTATAATATTTTGGCTGTACTTGTAACCCTTTTTCAGCAAAAACCAAAGCAAATTCATAATTTTTTTTATGGTGATAAATTAATGCTATATTATGATAGAGGGTGGCCAGTTCAATTTTTATATTTATATCTATTTGTGCCATTTGAAAATCTGAAGTCAGCTTTGTGGCTGATATGTACAGTTGTAATGCAGCATCTTCTTGATTAGCTTTGTATTCTTTTGTTCCCATTTCATGAATCTTTTTTTGCCTTTGAAGTATAAAAGCACCTGCAAATAATTAACCTATTTTAATATTTAAATGCAATATTTTTTGTGTTTAACTGTTGCAGAAGTTCCACTCAATAGATTACATATAAAATAGCATTAGAAGATGTCATTAGTTGCTGAGTGAGGAAATACAAGAATTTTAATATTTACATTTCTATAAATAGTCTGAGATATCAAAATAATGTCTCCAGATAAGTTATGGTAAAATTGTTTTTGTTACAACTAGAATTTTTAATTTCTTTTTAAGTTTATGGAGTTTATTCCAGGCAGGAAGAACTTATTGTAGATATAGGTCAAGTTAAGTAGGTCAAGTGTAGATTCTGAATATGTGGAGCCATAGGTCATGTGTAAATATATGTCATGTCATGTGGATATGTAGGTCAAGTCATGTGTAAATATAGGTCATTTCATGTGTAAATATAGGTCAAGTCATGTTTAAATATAGGTCCTTTCATGTGGGGTTTAGGTCAAGTCATGTATAAGTTTAGGTTATGTCATGTGGATATGTAGGTCAAGTCATGTCAATAATAGATAGATCTCTTCTTGAGCTTAAATATACCAGTAAAACAATAGACCAGCTATAGAGTAAAGATAAATATTTTACTACATCCTGAATGGTTTACTTTTTACTCTAATCTCTAGAGGCGAATTTGAAACTAGTAGTGTAGTTAAAATAATTCCCTCCACACTTACTTGGTGCTTGACTAGCTTTTAACAGGGTTTCATTTAATTTATTTTTCTGTTTGCCTCTTCTGCCTACACTCACACACTGGTATGGAAGATTTCCTGCATTATTTGCCAAATTTGCTAGACATCCAGCGCTCAATAAAGTTTTTAAAATTTTCTGAAAAAATTCAGAAATAAACAGTCAATAATTTAGTATTTATACTTGTAATATCGTATTGATAAACTGAATTTTAAAGAAAATAATGGAAAAACAAACAGTATGAATCAAGGGTTAAAAAAATCTATTGCATCAAATGCAATTTAAATAAAAATTCTCAGCAGGACAAACGTTTCTAAATCTGCATTTATTATAATACTTTTCTAGTAATAATACTGTTGACAGCAGCATAAAATAAAACTTTTCTCTACAATTTTCTTTGTAGCAAATATGTGTCTACAAAGACCCCTACTCTGTGACAGTAGTTTACCTTCCCAGCTGCGGTTACACTTTTCGAGTGTGTGGCCACCTCATGCAGGGGTGTGTTCCCCTGATCATCACAGAGATCACACTCCAAGGGAGATAATGTTCTCAATGTACATTCTAGCAGTTGATCATTTTCTAAACAAAATAACGTCATTAGAAACTTTTTATATTTTAACAAACCTCAAAATTTAAATTCTCAAAATAAAATGGCCTAAAAAAATTAAGGACTTGAAAAAAAAATTAAATATTTAATATTAAATATAGGGCCTAAATATACACATTTGAGGTTCTGTTATACACAATATTCAATATATGAATGTCTGAAGCCATATTTCATTTTGCTTTACAGACTGAAAACACAACTTCGCAAATAAAACTATCCTCAACTGAAAGTCCAATATTTATACTACAGGAGATAAAAATTATTAAATTGTATTGGACTGAATTAATTGTTTTTTAATATTGCACCAAAAGCTATTATTCAACTCTGCAACATTAGGGGATTTGTTTGTTTGTTTGTATTTTTTAAATTTTTTGTTAAATCAATAACCAAATCGTGTATGATACATTTGTAATAGCCTACAATCTAATATTAAGACTTTTAAAAAGACTTACCTCCCTCTAAACAAAGGGACACTACTGCTAATAGCATAGGTTTATTGAAGCTGTGTTGAATCGTCTGCAAAGCAGCCCCTAAATCTACAAGCTTACAAGCAAGTCTTAGATGCCAAATCTTGACACCTGCAACAATTTTAAGTTGTTTACCTGAGGTGTTTTTTTTTTAATTTTAAACGTTCTGATTATACTAGCTCCCACCAGAGCAGTTACCTTATATAATATATATATATATATATATATATATATATATATATATATATATATATATATATATATATATATATATATATATACTATATATAGGCCTATATATATATATATATATATATATATATATATATATATATATATATATATATATATATATATATATGGTGCCATTGCTTGGGATCTGTGAATGTTGGTGTGCTAATGATTGGGATATTTAGCTTTTTACAGACAAACTGCTAAGTTATCACCTATCGGGTTAGGTTATGGAATATGGACTGTATCGGTCATCAATAAACGACACGTGTTTTAGCCTAGATTCTATATTTGATCCCCACCGTTACAAAAGTGACAATAGGCCGGTCCTCCCTCACTAACATAAAATCACAAATCCTAAAACCCCTATGCAATCAAAACAGTAAAGAAAGTGAAGTTCTTATTTGTAGGCCTATCCAGCACTAAAATGTATAAATGCTACTTCACATTTGTAAACATTCGTTCAAAAAGTCTTATCATCTTATCCATCCCCGTCCTTTATGGTGACGTCCAGTGGCGTAGCGAGGTCGGGTGTCACCCCGTGCGGCACTTAATGGTGTCACCCCTTAAGGGGGCAGTATCACCCAGACTAAGGGAGGAAAACAAAAATATTCACCAAAAAAAAACTATTCGACATACATAATAATATGTCAAAATTGTACAGCAGTAGTAACGTTTCTTCTGCTATAATACAGTATATAAATGGTAGGGTATATGTATAGCAACAAATTTGCAAAAAATTATTTTGTTAATATTTTATTACATTTTGAATTTTTTGTAAACAATTTTCCGAAACCATAAGTAAATTACTTAAAATTTGGTATAAATCTTCCTTGCGTCAATGGCTATCGTCGGAACTAAAATAATAGGATTCTAATGAAGGATGAATTATTTCTCGGCCTTTTGGCTAAGATCAAAGTGTAGTATCTGTTATGGATCTACACGGATCTTAGCCATTTGGTTGGTCAGTCCTTTTTAGGGCTGGCTGCCGGGGCCGAGAGGCGGTCAAACCTACTACTCTAACTCACGCAAATCTCGCCAACGACCGCTGTGGGGTTGCTCCCACACATCCCTCGAACGCACACGCTCTCGAGATGAGTCACCCAGTACTTGTATTGGGTGGCTTCAAATGTACGAGTGGCTAACTTTTCAATCTTTTATTTTTCAGCCTGACGACACCCATCTAGGAGAAATCTTAGGTGGGAGGTCTGTCTATCGCCAACAAATCGAACTCATCTACTACGTCTAACGCAACTACCTCGCTCAACAAATCGAACTCATCTACTACGTCAAACGTATCTACCTCGCTCCCAACAAACTCACTAACACTCTGACGACACCCACCTAGGAGAAATCTTAGGTGGGAAGCTTCCGTCAAAACACTAGCAAATCAACTAACCATCTCTCAAGATCATCTACTCAAAATAAACAATCGCCAACAGCTCTACCTCGCCCACCTCAACACTTCACCAAGCTCAAAACCATCGACTCAGCAACATCAGCAAACTTCACTCTTCAACGTCACCTCGCCCAACTCAATTACTCGACTACTTCACGTTACTCCTCCTCAAATCACAATGAACAATACTTCAAAGCAACTCACCCCGAAAGATCTCTCAACACAAGGACCTACCCAACTCATCTCCCCAAGCTTCAATGCATCGAACAACTCTACTACCATGCGCATCATTCCTCATCTCAACGCAAGAACACTACCTCAACCACCCTCTCCAAGTTCTACACCATTCGACCAACTCCACCATCAACGTCAAGACACCAAACTCACTCTCACCAAGTACAACTACCAACAAAGAATAAACCATTATCAAACCAAGAGCGTATCAAGCACAAGAAGAAAGGCCAAAAAACAGAGAAGCGATCATGTTTGTACTGTCCTGTACTTTATGTCATAGCAAACCAGAAACAAAATCAAGAAAGAAACAAATGGAACCAAGAAACCGGAACAAAGAAATCAAAGAAACATGGAACAAAGAAATCAGAAGGAATATTAAGACATTGTAAATCTTTTTAATGTTATACTATGTATCACATTGTAATTTTTTAACATGCAACCTATCCACTTGTGGAAGGAACAATATTAAACGCCAAACGGCACAAAAAAAAAAAAAAGTATCTGTTCTTATAATAAAAAAAAAAAAATAAAAAAAAAAAAATTATTTAGAAAATTTCTAAGTTCAATTTTTTTGGTCTGACTTTGAAAAAATCTAAAAATTTCAAAATTTGTCACAATGGATATCTTCTAGTTCCAACGATAGGCTATCCTGTCATACATCTCCCAGTGTATTTTCAGCAGGAAGGGCCTAAATGTTGGAAAACCGCAGCCACAAATTACTTTGTAAAAATTTTTTGGTTAAATTATTTATAAAAAATGTTTGCATCATACGTTAACTTTCTTTTATGTGCTGTTTTATAGCTCCTTATTAATTACTATTATGGTAAAAAAATTATGTGTGTATGTGTAATAGTTTTTTTTTGGCAAATTTTTTCGTCAATTTTCAAATGTCTGGGTGATACTGCCCCCTTAAGAGGCGTAGCGACTCTTCCCGGGGAACAAACTTTCAATTTTCAATTTGCACCCCCCCCCCTCAAACTTTCAATTTGCCCCCCCCCCCCCCCCCTCCCCTCAAACTTTCGATTTGCATCCTCCCCCTCAAATTTTTCTCTATATATTTTACTATTTTTTGCCTTGGTGACACCCCCTAAATGGTGTCACCCGGTGCGATCCGCACCCCCTGCCCCCCCTCGCTACGCCTCTGGTGACGTCATAAATGTACGTCCCTAAATCAATAAAATCGCTGAGACCATATAGTCTACCTGAAGTGGTGACCTTGTATTGTAAATAATTTTTGTTTACACCAGTTAAAGTAGGCCTACTCTTTCCCTGTGCTTATTACTTAATTTACTGTGTATGGACAAAAAAAATGGTTACCCTGTTTCTGTTTCAAGACCATCAACATCCGGCCTACGTTGACCTGATTGGCGGGAAATTCGGACAATGTTGCCAGCTCGCTGATGATGGTGGGGAAAGGGTCAAGGTCGATGAAAACACCGGTGGTGAGTAAAGCGACAGCCTCATATTCGTCCGTGTCACACAGGCGACCGATGATACGGCTCCACGAATCTGGCAGCTTGGGTAGTTGTAGAGGAAACCCCCTCAAACTTTCATACACTGACTTGTCTGCAGATTACATGGACATTTTTAGAAGCGCAGGCATCCGCACGCACTAAATGCCAGTGACTCGCATTGATAGGAAAAATTGAATCAAATTTACAAACGCATTTGATAATTAAAAACGCTTTGTGTAATTTTTTTATACAGTTTTTATATAATTATGTTCAATTAATTAAATTATCTGAGTGCTCTAATTTATAAAACGGCGGCAAATCAGGGTGACTTTCCGTTAAATAAATGACTGGGTGGCTGTGCCTAATGCCCAATGGTATGGCAATCAACGAGTTGACAAGAATCCTTCCATCACTATTGTTGACAGATAAAATCGAGTTTTTGACAATTTTGTCTGCATAGCGGCCGAAAAAAAATAATTAAAAGTTTGAAAAAAATGTATTAAATTTAATGTTTTAAGAATCAATAATAAAAGCTGAACTTAATGTAGAGAACTTGAAAATATTTGTTTGTGTTTAAGGCCATATATTTCTATTCATTTTCATAAAGCCTAATGTATAACTTTTAGTTTCACTTTCGAAAGACAATAATTGATTGGCTGTACAGGAACTCCATTCGATCTTCTGAAGACTCCACTTTCTTGTAATTTGTAATCAAAACTTTGCCGATAATAGTTTTTAAATAAATTGTTTTTGGCATTTGAAAATAATGTATTTAGTTACTTAAAATACTTAAAACATCAAATGTTTAGTAAAGCCCGACTAAAACCAAACAGCCTGGTTTTTGTTACTAAATTTATTTTTAAAATAATATTAGACTATATGATTTTTAAAATATTCAATGGAACTTTCGACTAATTTCGCGACTATTATTGTTGGTGACATTATAGTTTTTAAAAATCTTGAACATTCATAAGGCTATTTAATTAAGGGGAATGTGTAGCCTAAGGCTATACGGGCAAGCAGACACTAAAGTTCAAATGACGTAATTTGACGAAAATAATTTGCTAGGATACTACATAGGTCTAATAAATTGTTTAGTGGGCAATGAAATTTTTTTCGCAGATTTCCTCGAATAATTTTTTTTTATAATTCTACTTTATAAAGAGCACTGAAATTTGTCCTTATCCACTGAATGATAAAAACTTAAAAACTAAAGAGTCATCCCAGGGACGTTGATTTCCAGTTTTAACACAACTGATCTTAGTTCTGGCCTAACAGCATTGAATTTCTTCCTGTTTATCCAAAATATAAGATTTGATTCATTCGATTTTATTGATTATTCTAGTATCGACCCACTCGTTATACCAAGTTACAATCAATCCATATCCACGTGCTTAAGGCTAGTGCTACGTTGCGTTTAAACTGGTTATACATTGTGTGATAAGCGTTGTGTTTACCGGGGAACACATTGTGTGTTTACATTGTGTGTTTACCTGTGTTTTAATCACATAAACACACCAGATTACACGGAGGAGGTAAAAATATCTACACTGCAGCATATCGATTTAACATCACATAAGCACTCTCTGTTCAGTTATACCTATGGGATCGTTATAAGCGTTAAACAACAAGAACTCAATGTTTCTTCCAGAGTTTCTTCAAAGAAAGTCTACTGCCTCCCCCCCCCCCCCCCCGAAAATTTCAAGTACCCCCCCCCCCCCCCCCCGAGAAAAAATTCTGGAAGAAACACTGGTTTCTTCATACAAATAAGAGTACTACACAAGAACGATTATTTATAGGAGTTTTCAGATTTCAGAAAAAAAAATTACCTTTTACCACATCACGAGCTAGATGAATGATGTAATCCTCAAACCAAAAAACGTTTGTCCCAAGAAGTTGGGAGATGGTCAGACACACGTCTTGTGGGTTCATGGTCAGACACACGTCTTGTGGGTTCATGGTCAGACACACGTCGTGTTACTGCATTCTGTGGCGCTCAGATCTAGGGTGGAGATGTTTAGGTGCGAGCCATTTGTTGGCAGTGTGCGGTATTATATTGACACACGACAAGGATGGAATGGATGCAGGCAGCTTGAGGGAACAAAGGGGTTTGTGTGTCAGATAGCTCACATCAACCGTGTGTAGTTAAAGAGGTGTGTTCTGGTGATGCCTTACAGTAGTTTAATTATTTTGTCTAATGAGCAGCAAACTGCAATGTCATATAATTATATATATATTATATATATATATATATATATATATATATATATATATATATATATATATATATATATATATATATATATATATATATACATGCCCTATATATATATATATGCCCTATATATATATATATATATGCCCTATATATATATATATATATGCCATATATATATATATATATATATATATATATATATATATATATATATATATATATATATATATATATATATATTTATATAGTTTCACCCCTACCCCATGACTAATCAGTCACTGATTTTTCCTATCCAATTCCCATTATTAGACTGAAGTAAGAATGCGTTAACACAAAGTCCTACCAGCTAGGCTGAGTCGGTAGTGAAATAATTGATTTAAAAATCGCGTTAGATAGGTGCAGCCGTGGCAGAAGGGGGTTGGACTAAATGTCATGTGACCACAAAATCAGTCAACCTGATGGGTAACGTTAACAAGTGAAGAGTACTCACACGTAACTGTCGTAGAAATCGCAGGTTATTTTGTTGTCTGTTTACATCGTTTCAACGCAATACGGTCCTCTTCCTCCCCTCTCTCTCTTCAATGAAATGTTAGGTAATATTATTGTTAACCGGGTTGTTCTAAGAATAATACTTCGGATATTCCCGAAAAAATTTTTCCCGTTTTAGTTTCAGTATTACCTATGGCGTAAGAGGTGTGTTTGAATTGGGGTTTAGTAACGATAGGCACAAAAGTGTTGCATGTGGTTGGAGTAAAAAAGCTCTCAGGATTTTTGGTGGTTCTCACATAACACCAGTGTTTGGGACAGGCAAGCCGACCGTATGGATTCGAATACATAACAACAAACTGTACGCTTTTTTAAAAAACTAATCACAATTTAACGTAAGCTATATTTTTCTTTAAGCTAACCTACATCTTGTAGTCTTTCATTATTATTGTTTACGTTTTTAATTAACTCAAATAGTGCGGAATTAACTTTTCTAATAAATTTTTTACCGATTTAATAAGAATATTCATGTTTTTTTTAAATACTAGCTGGCAAGTGCAAGAACGAGAAGTGGCCTACTTACATTAGTCTAATGGACTTTTGTTAGAGAGCCTTGAGAGAGGAATTTCGAAACGATGTGTTACAAGGACAAGGGGGGGGGGGATTAGAAAGTTGTCATATTGTTGCATTTCATTCTTTAACATTTGTTATGTATTTTTAAGGACTTTTTTGATACTAGTATTGAAAATCAATCTTGAACCGGATTTATCAACATTGCAGTATTAAATAGTAATTAGCGATCTCATTGTATTTAACTGTTATTCTTTTGTTATGTCCCCTTACAAAGAGAAACAACTCTATTAATAATTCAGAAATCGTTTTAAAACAGAAACTTTTATATTTGAGGTGTGGTGATGGCTGAAATGTGGAGAAATTGTCAGATTTTGTGTAATGTTGTGAGTAGACAGAACTGACTAGTTGCTTGACGTCTGCTAGCAAAACACGAGTTGTCTTTAATCGGCAGACGTGAAGAAACTGATTTTAGACTTGACTCTCGACAGCCATAGACTTGCGAGTCTGCTATCAATGCGTCATAAGATTTTCCGCGTCTGCTATCATTGCGTCATTAGATTTTCCGCGTCTGCTATCATTGCGTCATTAGACTTTCCTCGTCTGCTATCATTGCGTCATTAGATTTTCCCCGTCTGCTATCATTGCGTCATTAGATTTTCCCCGTCTGCTACCATAGCGTCATTAGATTTTCCCCGTCTGCTATCATTGCGTCATAAGATTTTCCGCGTCTGCTATCATTGCGTCATTAGATTTTCCCCGTCTGCTATCATTGCGTCATTAGATTTTCCCCGTCTGCTACCATAGCGTCATTAGATTTTCCCCGTCTGCTATCATTGCGTCATAAGATTTTCCCCGTCTGCTATCATTGCGTCATAAGATTTTCCGCGTCTGCTACCATTGCGTCAGACTGTCCCCGTATGTTGCCGAAAGTCTTGTGATGATTCTCGTTACGTTTATGTTGTCAACCTCTCCACTGGGCCAGTTTTCAATTTAGAAAAGACTCAGTTAAAAGACCGAATTAAGTTTAAACCAGTACAAATAATACAATAAATTGGCGATAAAAGATTATTTATTCTACAATGTTTTATTTCAACACTCTTTTTCCGAAAATGTTACAACACAAGGATAATAATTTAGCATCAATACATAGGATCTATACATTAAATTAGAATGATTAACAATTTGTTTCAACGACACGGTAGACCATCATTGCTGAGGAATTTACTCTTTCGACATTGACATTGGCTAATAGCAGGCTAGTTGTCGGCTAGTAGGCAGCAAGTAGGCAGCTAGTAGGTAGCTAGTAGACAGCTAGTACCCTCTTTGATTGGGTCCACTTTTGACGATCTTGACCTCTCTAGCTAGTTGACACGTAGCGCAGGGCATGCAGCAGTAGGAGACCATACAGTCGCCACATATGGAGCCCTGGGGGTTGTACAAACAGGGGTCATATAAAACATGGGTCATATAAAACAGGGGTCATATAAAACATGGGTCATACAAAATATGGTTCATACAAAACATGGGTCATTATAATAGTGGGTCATACCAATAGGTGGTTATATTAATAGTGGGTCATAGCAATAGTGGGTCATAGCAATAGTGGGTCATACCAATAGTGGGTTCTACCAATAGTGGGTCATACCAATAGTGGGTCATGGAAAACATGGGTCATACCAATAGTCAGCATAGTAATAGTGTATTATAAATTGGGTGTTACCAATAATGGTCCTTCCAAATGGGGCATACAAAAAGTGGGTCATACAAAAAGTGGGTCATAAAAAATGGAACATGTAAACAGTGTGTCACACACAGGGGGTCATGAGAGCTAAACAAAAGCCACCTAGACAAATGTCTGCTGATGACATACAAATGTCACCTAGAATGAATGACACAACAAGTCAATGTCATCTACAGACGATGACGTCACTCACCCCGATGTTCTCCTGGGTCCTCAGCTTAACCCTCATGGCCACCGTTGAAGCAGGAACGAAGCAGACGATACACAGGGTCTCGTCAAGTTCTGATGCCGTCTGCATGGCCAGGATAGGGCAACAACAGGCGCCAAACATACCTGTAGGGGCGGGGGGGGGGGGGGTGGATGGAAGGCAGGGGGGTAAGTGGGTGGGTGGGTGATTGAGTGGATGGTGGATGATTGGGTGGGTTGATGGAGGGGTGGGGGAATAGGTGGGTGAGTGGATAGGTAGGTGGGTGGATGAATGAATTGATGGACACGAAGGTGAATGTTTGTGTTGATTAGTATGTGGATGTTTATGCAGGTGAATGAGAAGGTGGTGGGATATGTGGATTAATGGAACTTGAAGAACGGATGGATAAATGGATATGTGCAACGATGTATATATATATATATATATATATATATATATATATATATATATATATATATATATATATATATATATATATATATATATATATATATATATGTATGTATGTATATATATAAATATATAAATATACATATATATATATTTATATATTTATATATATATATATATATATATATATATATATATATATATATATATATATATATATATATATATATATATATATATATATATATATATATATATATATATATATATATATATATATATATATATATATATTTATATATATGTATATATATGTATATATATATATATATATATATATATATATATATATATATATATATATATATATATATATATATATATGTACTTACAAGTGTTGCAGTCATCGAAACATTGACACAGCCCTGTGTTCCAGTCCCTTCGATGTTTTGGAGCGTTTGGCTGTCCCGTCACCACGATGCTGTTGATAGTACCTGGCTGTTGTTGTACAGGCTGTAGCTGCATCGCAGGCTGTACCTGCACGGTAGGTTGTACCTGCACGGCAGGTTGTTGCTGAAGTAGACAAGGTTAGGGCGAATGGTCACATATCTTACATAGACCAAGCAGCTGATTACACGAAAAACACAGAGTCTAAGAACAAAAATCAAATACCCGTACCACAAAATGCATCTTTGAATTCTTTCTTTTGAATGTTTAGCCTTTTTTTTCAACCTGAAATAAAGCAACAACAATTTTTTGAGCAGAGAGTATAAAGAACAACATAGCAATGATTCATGTGTTGTATGTGGTTCTAAGCGTGTGTTGAGAGTGTAAAGAACAACACAGCAATGATTCGTGTGTTGTATGTGGTTCTAAGCGTGTGTTGTTTTAGTTGACCTCTATTAATTTAGTGCTCGGATATTAGAAACTTCAAATGTTCAATTTAAGACAATGACAAAAATACACCGTCCCTGTGATGATAACTTTAGGAAGAGTCAAACAGCTTTTCTTACCCACCGTCTTTCCTACCAAACTAGCTCTCACAGTTTATTCAATTTTCGATGTGTTTCTTATTGATTGTCTTCACTAAAAAAATAACTTTAATGCCTATTTTTCATAAAGCTGGACCTTAGCTAATTCGTATTATGTTACAACGTGTTCTTTGCTTTAAATGTATTTTGAAAACTGGCTTTTTTTCAGGAACGTTGAGCGAGAGACTAGTACAGATCGTTGATGATGTCTACAAAGGTCCTTAAAGGCTTTTTTTTTAAAGCTTTTCATAAAAAAATGAAAATACCGATATATGGGAAAACAGAACATCGATATCGGAATAAGATATGGCCGATATCAGAATAAACAATTGGCCTATATCAGAATAAACAATTGGCCTATATCAGAATAAACAATCGGCCTATATCAGAATAAACAATTGGCCAATATCAGAATAAACAATTGGCCGATATCAGAATAAAGAATTGACTAATATTAAAATGAATAATTGGCCGATATCAAAATAAACAATTGGCAGATACAAGAATAATCAATTGGCCGATATCAGAAAAAAGAATTGATCGATATCAGAATAAACTATTGACCGATACAGAATAAATGTGCTCACCTATATAAATGAAGTGACTTGCGTTATGTGTGACGAACGACTTATGACGGACACTGATCTAACACTGCCATCGTCGCTTGGGGTTTATATTCTGTAGCTGCATGTCACGTGATAGGTTTATCCTGATTCGGGACAGGTATGTATGTGGGTGGGATGGGGGTGGGGTAGGGGGTTGAGTGGGGTGATGAAATCAACGAGGCGTGATCGCAAAAACTATCTGATACATTGGGAGACTAAAACAGCAAAAATGACCTGATACGTTTGGAGACTAAAACAGCAAAAATGACCTGATACGTTTGGAGACTAAAACAGCAAAAATGAGCTGATACGTTTGGAGACTAAAACAGCAAAAATGACCTGATACGTTTGGAAACTAAAACAGCAAAAATGACCTGATACGTTTGGAGACTAAAACAGCAAAAATGACCTGATACGTTTGGAGACTAAAACAGCAAAAATGATCCGATACGTTAGAAGACTAAAACAGCAAAAATGACCTGATACGTTTAGAGACTAAAATAGCAAAAATTATCTGATACGTTTGGAGACTAAAAGAGTGTGAAGAAGAGTATTGTTATGTTGGAATCATGACGTCACGAAACATGTATCTAATGCCTTAATTATCTCATAAACGCACACACACACACACACACACACACATTTTCCTACATTTCAAAATTTCGTCTTCGGCGTACGCAATCGCATAGTCCATTACTTGAAAAAAATGTCGCACTTCTTCGACAAGATACCTATAGATGTAAAATTTAGGGGACTGCGTGGTCCAATGGTATACCATACGACTGCTAACTCGAGTTCGTATCCGGGTTCAAGTAAGTACAATGTCCCTGAGTCCACCCAGCTCTGATGGGTATCTAACTTACGTTAGGGAAATCAAAGGTGGCTAGAGATAGTGCTGACCACACTATCCTTACTATACTGAACTCACAGAAACAGGGAATTACTTTATTTACTTAAATTTACCAAACCAGTGAAAACAAAACTAAAATGTGTTCCATACAGATGAAATGTTTCGCAATATCTTCAACTAGATTAGGAATGTGGTCAAATATTTTGTCGTTTGAGATGCAGCGCTTTATTTTAAACTACTGCCAACAATAGCACGTAAATAAACATTTCTACCTAGTGCAATCGTTGTGACATCCTGTTTCTGGTAACTGGGGTATATGTGGCAATCTCTTCCAAACATTCACGGATCGCACCTTATATATATATAATTATATCATATGTACATTCACACAAACATATATATATATATATATATATATATATATATATATATATATATATATATATATATATATATATATATAAAACACATGTATACGTGTTGCATGAGTATGTGTTTGTAGACGCCTAAATTGGTAGACTTTTGTTTATTATTTATGGAACTATATGGGTGCTCTCCAGGCTTAGGTGTATGTGTGTTTAATCATGTGTTTTATGCTGTGTTTTATGCTGTGTTTTATCGTGTTTCCTTGTGTGCTTTTCTTTATCGGTGTGCTTTTTCGTGTTGTTGATGTATTTTGTCATGCATTTTAACATGTGTTTTGTCATGTGTTTTATCATGCATTTTACCATGTGTTGTCATGCATTTTATTATGTGCTTTGTCATGCGATTTATCATGTGTTTTATCATGTATTTTAACATGTGTTTTAACATGTTTTTGGTGAGCTGGTCTGGAGTTGTGTACCTTCACATTCTGTTTATAACCGACCCCCCCCCCCCCCCCCCCAGATCAACCAGCCTACCAACGTTCAACTGACCGTCACATCAGCGAACTTTGACAGACTTAAAGTAACATTTTTGTTTCTCACAAGAGAGTTGTCAACCTGCGATCATTTTTGGAATGTTGCGATGGTGACTAGACGACTAGATCTATCTAGCCGGGTGTTCAGATGGTGACTAGATCTAACTAGCCGGGTGTTCAGAACACCGTGACAATGCTGGAAAAAAAAACTTAATTTCAAGAAATAGTTTTTTGTATCATCCTGTTTCCAAGAATGAAATATTTAAAACCTTTCGAAACGCTGAACGTAATACATAAGTATATTTATTGCATAACTTGGTGATATTAGTGAGGTGTGGTGTGAAGTGTGTGTGATCCTAGTGAGGTGTGGTGTGAAGTGGATGATCCTAGTGAGGTGTGGTGTGATGTGTTTGTGATCCTAGTGATACGTGGTGTGATGTGGATGATCCTTTTCTATAGATCTATAATTTTATTGACACCCCCCCCCCCCATTCAGCCCACCCTTTCATCATATTAAACTTCCCCCATTTCACCCATTCGAATAGTTTTCAAGCACATTCTCCTTTAATTATTTTACCAGCGTTAGGCTACCTGCAGTCTTTAAAGGCATGAAACAAACTACATTATTTAAATTGTGCCAATCAGGAGCTACACAGACAGGAGCCACACAGTCAGGAGCCACACAGTCAGGAGCCACACAGTCAGGAGCCACACAGTCAGGAGCCACACACCCAGGAGCCACACACCCAGGAGCCACACAGTCAGGAGCCACACAGTCAGGAGCCACACACCCAGGAGCCACACACCCAGGAGCCACACAGTCAAGAGCCACACAGAAGCTACACAGTCAGGAGCCACACAGTCAGGAGTCACACAGAAGCTACACAGTCAGGAGCCACACAGTCAGGAGTCACACAGACAGGAGCCACACAGTCAGGAGCCACACAGTTAGGAGCCACACACCCAGGAGCCACACAGTCAGGAGCCACACACTCAGGAGCCACACAGTCAGGAGCCACACACCCAGGAGCCGCACAGTCAGGAGCCACACAGACAGGAGCCACACAGTCAGGAGCCACACATCCAGGAGCCACACAGTCAGGAGCCACACAGACAGGAGCCACACAGTCAGGAGCCACACAGTCATGAGCCACACATCCAGGAGCCACACAGTCATGAGCCACACAGTCAAGAGCCACACAGAAGCCACACAGTCAGGAGCCACACACCCAGGAGCCGCACAGTCAGGAGCCACACAGTCAAGAGCCACACAGAAGCCACACAGACAGGAGCCACACACACAGGAGCCACACACACAGGAGCCACACACCCAGGAGCCGCACAGTCAGGAGCCACACAGTCAAGAGCCACACAGAAGCCACACAGACAGGAGCCACACAGACAGGAGCCACACACCCAGGAGCCACACAGAAGCTACACAGTCAGGAGTCACACAGACAGGAGCCACACAGTCAGGAGCCACACAGTTAGGAGCCACACACCCAGGAGCCACATAACAGGAGCCACACAGGAGACACACAGTCAAGAGCCACACAATCAGGAGCCACACAGTCAGGAGCCACACAGTCAGGAGCCACACAGAAGCCACACACTCAGGAGCCACACATCCAAGAGCCACAGATTCAAGAGCCACACAGTCAAGAGCCACACAGAAGCCACACAGACAGGAGCCACACAGCCAGGAGCCACACGGTCAGGAGCCACACAATCAGGAGCCACACATCCAGGAGCCACACAATCAGGAGTCACACAGACAGAGCCACACAGACAGAGCCACACAGTCAGGAGCCACACAGACAGGAGCCACACAGTCAGAAACTACACAGTAGCAATACAGTCAGGAGACACACACACATCAGCCACACAGTTAGGAGCCAAACACCCAGGAGCCACACATGAGCCACACAGACAGGAGCCACACAGACAGGAGCCACACAGTCAGGAGCCACACAGACAGAGCCACACAGTCAGGAGCCACACAAACAGGAGCAACAAAGTCAATAATCACTCAGGGAACAACTGTCTAGATTCATAAGCTTTTAGCCAGAGGTTAATGTTTTGTGTTCCAAAGTCAGGGGCCCTAATATCGGGAGCCCTAGTGTCAGGAGACCTAGTATTTGGAGCACTTGTATGGGGAGTCCAAGTATCAGGAGCTCTTTTCATGAGCCCTTTTTCAGGAGCCCTAGAATCAGGAACCCTGTATCAAGAGCCCTTGTATCAGGTACCCTAGTATCGGGAGCCCTATTGTCAAGAGCCCTAGTATCAGGTACCCTAGTATCGGGAGCCCTAGCGCAGAGAACGCTAGTCATGCGTCAGGAGCGCTAGTATCAGGAACCCTAGTGTCAGGAGCCCTACTATTTGGAGCCCTGTATCAGGCGCCCCATTATCAGGAGCCTTTATCAGGAGCCCCATTATCAGGAGCCCTGTATTATGAGCCCAAGTATCGGGAGCCCTAGCCCAAGAACGCTAGAGTCAGGGGTAAAAGAGTTGAGAGCCATTGAGCCTGGAATATTTGCTCTGAGTCAATTTCTTGCCTGAGACTTGAGCGCCAGTGATGGAATTTCCGTTGTCATATTTCGGGAGCCCTATGGCATACTCGGGGAGCCCGGAGTCAAGTGCTCCTTTAAATTTACACGAGTAACGAGTCCCATGGTTAACCAGGGCCCCCAACTTGCGTGTTTGTTCTCTCCAGAGAGGGGGGGGGGGAAGGACACTTGAAATTTTCGGGAGAGGGGGGGGAGGACTAAATTTTTCAAAGGGCTTGGGTGGGGGGCATGCTTTCAATGGGTGGCTGATACATCCACACCACCTCCAATGACACTCTATTTCCCTTGCACGTGTTGGAATTTCCAATAATATAAAAATAGACATTGACCTACATCCATAAACTTGATGAGAAATGACGCAACTATTGAAGGAGGTCAAATCAAATTAGATGCTAATAATTTTATAATTTAATTATGATTTAGAATATAGATGCAACTAATTTTTTAAAAGCAAATTTGCATATTTTTTGAAACTTTCAAGTCGTAAGATTAATTATTTTTGCAAGGAATTTATATTTTAAAACTACATCGATATATAGGCAGAAGGCAAAGAATTTAATTTTTAATGTTAAGACATATATCTTTGATTGGCTGAAAATGTTGTGCAGTTCCGCCCCACTCCGTTCTGTGCTGTCAAAAAGTTCACGAAAGAGTTTAAGGAGATTGCAGCAGATTAGTCTTGAAGGACTGGGGCAGACTGTAGTTTCACATCCAGTCTGAGGAGACGGCAAGTGTGGAATCATTTTATCGTCGCTACCATGGCATCAATACCCAGGAAAGCTTCCGTTAATTTATTGGTGTCTTTGATCAGCAGATCGAACTTTCACCGTCTTGCAAGGCGATCAGTGCATGGTTTGTTTCATGGAGGAAAGATTGTGTACAAGGTGCGGAGTGGGGCAGGTGATGGTGTCACTCCTTTGGTGGCAGGTCATGGTGTCATGACTTACTCGTGCAGGGCAGGTGACTGTCGAACGTTTGACACACATGACTGCAAAGTCAAGCCGAAATTTTTGCTCGGCATTCCATACGACGAAACGTGAGTATTGCTAGACCATTCGATTCTAATAATTCTATGTAATAATAAATAGACTGTTAGATAAATAATTAAATATACTGATCGTTCGATTCTCTAAACTAGACCATTCAATTATCTAGAATAGACTATTAGATAAATATACTAGAAACTTCGATTATGTAGACTGTTCGATTATCTTTAGACTTTAGACCATTCGATTATCTATACTAACCCATTAGATTATCTTTAGACCATTCGATTATCTATTCTATACTAAATACTAGACCATTCGATTATCTATACTAGACCATTCAATTATCTTTAGACCATTTGATTATCTATACTAGACCTTTCGATTATCTTTAGACCAGGGGCGTAGCGAGAGGGGGGCGGGGGGTGCGGACCGCACCGGGTGACACCATTTAGGGGGGTGACACCAAGGCAAAAAATAGCAAAATATATAGAGAAAAACTCGAGGGTGGGGGGTGCAAATCGAAAGTTTGAGGGGGGTGCAAATCGAAACTTGAGGGGGGGGGTGCAAATCGAAAATTTGAAAGTTTGTTCCTGGGAAGGGTCTCTATGCCTCTGGGAGGGGGGGGGTGACACCATTAAGTGCCGCACCGGGTGACACCCGACCTCGCTACGCCACTGCTTTAGACCATTCGATTATCGGATGATTTAGACACCGATGTCCGATAATAGACTTCTCCATAAAATAGGTGTTTTGGTTTTATAGTAATATTGTAATATCGACTGGTTTTATGGTTAGAAATTAGGGTTAGCCCCGTTAGGCGTATGGTAGCACTAGGGTTGGAGTTAGGGGCAGGGTTAGCATTTGACATTAGCCGCCATGTTTGTATTTAGTTAACGACCAGTAACCTAACACCCCTTTTTAAAGAAGATTCTATTATCGGACACTAGTATACAAATTCCCCCCTACCCCCGATTAAATATTAACTAGGCCATTCGATTATCTATACTAGAGTTAGTTAGACGTAGTATTAAATTATTTGTCGTTGATATTGAGGGACTTTTTATTCTAGAATGCCATAGAATCTGTAGAACATGTGTGATAGTTTGAGTTCATGTGTGACAGTATGTGTGTGATAGAGTGAGTGCATGTGTGATAGTGTGAGTGTATATAGTATATGGGATAGTATGAGTGTGTGTGTGTGTGAGCGTGAGCGTGTGCAGAGTTTCTTCCAGGCAAAGCCCCCCCCCCCCCCCCCCCGAAATTATTTTACCGCAACCCTCCCCCGCCCGAACGAACCCCCCCCCCCCCCGAAAATTTCAAGTGCCCCCCCCCCCCCCCGGAGATAAAAGTCTGGAAGAAACACTGTGCGAAAGTGTGAGTATGTCTAGCGGACTATGCTCAGATGCTGATACCGGGGTGCCGGAATGTATGCATCACGCGAGGTACTTGTACTATGTTTACAAAAGCGATATGTCCCTACAACATATGAATCATGATCTATTAGTATTAGTTTAAATCTTAAGTCTCGTGTGACGTCAAACCAATCAACACAAAACGTCACAATTTTAACACAATCTCGCGTGACGTCAGAGAACATGACTTTCGGTTATTGCATATTGACCATGACATTTTCCTCACCAGGAAACACGACCCCAGCGGATGGTGGATGAGCGAGAAACTGGACGGTGTCAGGGTCATGTGGGATGGAAGGTCAGTCAGGGTCACGTGGGGTGAAGGTCAGTCAGGGTCATGTGGGATGGAAGGTCAGTCAGGGTCATGTGGGATGGAAGGTCAGTCAGGGTCATGTGGGATGGAAGGTCAGTCAGGGCCATGTGGGGGTGGGGTGGACGGTCAGTCGGGGTCATGTGGGATGGGGTGGACGGTCAGTCGGGGTCATGTGGGATGGGGTGGACGGTCAGTCGGGGTCATGTGGGATGGGATGGAAGGTCAGTCATGGCCATGTGGGATGGAAGGTCAGTCAGGGTCATGTGGGATGGGATGGAAGGTCATGTGAGGTGGAAGGTCAGTCAGGGTCATGTGGGATGGAAGGTCAGTTAGGGCCATGTGGGATGGGATGGAAGGTCAGTCAGGGCCATGTGGGATGGAAGGTCAGTCGGGGCCATGTGGGATGGAAGGTCAGTCAGGGCAATGTGGGATGGAAGGTCAGTCTGGGCCATGTGGAATCTAAGGTCAGTCAGGGCAATGTGGGGTGAAAGGTCAGTCTGGGCCACGTGGGGTGGAAGGTCAGTCAGGGCAATGTGGGGTGAAAGGTCAGTCAGGGTCATGTGGGATGGAAGGTCAGTCAGGGCCATGTGGGATGGAAGGTCAGTCAGGGCCATGTGGGATGGGATGGAAGGTCAGTCAGGGCCATGTGGGATGGGATGGAAGGTCAGTCAGGGCCATGTGGGATGGGATGGAAGGTCAGTCAGGGCCATGTGGGATGGGATGGAAGGTCAGTCAGGGCAATGTGGGATGGAAGGTCAGTCTGGGCCATGTGGAATCTAAGGTCAGTCAGGGCCACACGGGGTGGAAGGTCAGTCTGGGCCACGTGGGGTGGAAGGTCAGTCAGGGCAATGTGGGGTGGAAGGTCAGTCAGGGCCATGTGGGATGTAAGGTCCGTCAGGGCCATGTGGGATGTAAGGTCACTCAGGGTCATGTGGGATGTAAGGTCCGTCAGGGCCATGTGGGATGGAAGGTCAGTCAGGGCCATGTGGGATGGAAGGTCAGTCAGGGCCATGTGGGATGGAAGGTCAGTCAGGGCCATGTGGGATGGAAGGTCAGTCAGGGCCATGTGGGATGGAAGGTCAGTCAGGGTCATGTGGGATGGAAGGTCAGTCAGGGCCATGTGGGATGGAAGGTCAGTCAGGGCCATGTGGGATGGGATGGAAGGTCAGTCAGGGCCATGTGGGATGGGATGGAAGGTCAGTCAGGGCCATGTGGGATGGGATGGAAGGTCAGTCAGGGCCATGTGGGATGGGATGGAAGGTCAGTCAGGGCAATGTGGGATGGAAGGTCAGTCTGGGCCATGTGGAATCTAAGGTCAGTCAGGGCCACACGGGGTGGAAGGTCAGTCTGGGCCACGTGGGGTGGAAGGTCAGTAGGGCAATGTGGGGTGGAAGGTCAGTCAGGGTCATGTGGGATGTAAGGTCCGTCAGGGCCATGTGGGATGTAAGGTCACTCAGGGTCATGTGGGATGTAAGGTCCGTCAGGGCCATGTGGGATGGAAGGTCAGTCAGGGCCATGTGGGATGGAAGGTCACTCAGGGTCATGTGGGGTGAAGGTCAGTCAGGGCCTTGTAGGGTGGAAGGTCAGTCAGGGTCATGTGGGATGTAAGGTCCGTCAGGGCCATGTGGGATGGAAGGTCAGTCAGGGTCATGTGGGATGTAAGGTCACTCAGGGTCATGTGGGATGTAAGGTCCGTCAGGGCCATGTGGGATGGAAGGTCAGTCAGGGCCATGTGGGATGGAAGGTCACTCAGGGTCATGTGGGGTGAAGGTCAGTCAGGGCCTTGTAGGGTGGAAGGTCAGTCAGGGTCATGTGGGATGTAAGGTCCGTCAGGGCCATGTGGGATGGAAGGTCAGTCAGGGTCATGTGGGGTGAAGGTCAGTCAGGGCCATGTGGGATGGGGTGGAAGGTCAGTCATGGCCATGTGGGATGGAAGGTCAGTCAGGGCCATGTGGGGTGAAGGTCAGTCAGGGTCATGTGGGATAGGATGGAAGGTCAGTCAGGGCCATGTGGGGTGGAAGGTCAATCAGGGTCATGTGGGGTGGGATGGAAGGTCAGTCAGGGCCATGTGGGGTGGAAGGTCAATAAGGGTCATGTGGGGTGGGATGGAAGGTCAGTCAGGGCCATGTGGGATGGGATGGAAGGTCATGTGGGGTGGAAGGTCAGTCAGGGTCATGTGGGATGGAAGGTCAGTCGGGGCCGAGTGGGATGGTATGGAAGGTCAGTCAGGGCCATGTGGGATGGAAGGTCAGTCAGGGTCATGTGGGGTGGAAGGTCAGTCAGGGTCATGTGGGATGGGGTGGACGGTCAGTCGGGGTCATGTGGGATGGGATGGAAGGTCAGTCATGGCCATGTGGGATGGAAGGTCAGTCAGGGTCATGTGGGATGGGATGGAAGGTCATGTGAGGTGGAAGGTCAGTCAGGGTCATGTGGGATGGAAGGTCAGTTAGGGCCATGTGGGATGGGATGGAAGGTCAGTCAGGGCCATGTGGGATGGAAGGTCAGTCGGGGCCATGTGGGATGGAAGGTCAGTCAGGGCAATGTGGGATGGAAGGTCAGTCTGGGCCATGTGGAATCTAAGGTCAGTCAGGGCAATGTGGGGTGAAAGGTCAGTCTGGGCCACGTGGGGTGGAAGGTCAGTCAGGGCAATGTGGGGTGAAAGGTCAGTCAGGGTCATGTGGGATGGAAGGTCAGTCAGGGCCATGTGGGATGGAAGGTCAGTCAGGGCCATGTGGGATGGGATGGAAGGTCAGTCAGGGCCATGTGGGATGGGATGGAAGGTCAGTCAGGGCCATGTGGGATGGGATGGAAGGTCAGTCAGGGCCATGTGGGATGGGATGGAAGGTCAGTCAGGGCAATGTGGGATGGAAGGTCAGTCTGGGCCATGTGGAATCTAAGGTCAGTCAGGGCCACACGGGGTGGAAGGTCAGTCTGGGCCACGTGGGGTGGAAGGTCAGTCAGGGCAATGTGGGGTGGAAGGTCAGTCAGGGTCATGTGGGATGTAAGGTCCGTCAGGGCCATGTGGGATGTAAGGTCACTCAGGGTCATGTGGGATGTAAGGTCCGTCAGGGCCATGTGGGATGGAAGGTCAGTCAGGGCCATGTGGGATGGAAGGTCAGTCAGGGCCATGTGGGATGGAAGGTCAGTCAGGGCCATGTGGGATGGAAGGTCAGTCAGGGCCATGTGGGATGGAAGGTCAGTCAGGGTCATGTGGGATGGAAGGTCAGTCAGGGCCATGTGGGATGGAAGGTCAGTCAGGGCCATGTGGGATGGGATGGAAGGTCAGTCAGGGCCATGTGGGATGGGATGGAAGGTCAGTCAGGGCCATGTGGGATGGGATGGAAGGTCAGTCAGGGCCATGTGGGATGGGATGGAAGGTCAGTCAGGGCAATGTGGGATGGAAGGTCAGTCTGGGCCATGTGGAATCTAAGGTCAGTCAGGGCCACACGGGGTGGAAGGTCAGTCTGGGCCACGTGGGGTGGAAGGTCAGTCAGGGCAATGTGGGGTGGAAGGTCAGTCAGGGTCATGTGGGATGTAAGGTCCGTCAGGGCCATGTGGGATGTAAGGTCACTCAGGGTCATGTGGGATGTAAGGTCCGTCAGGGCCATGTGGGATGGAAGGTCAGTCAGGGCCATGTGGGATGGAAGGTCACTCAGGGTCATGTGGGGTGAAGGTCAGTCAGGGCCTTGTAGGGTGGAAGGTCAGTCAGGGTCATGTGGGATGTAAGGTCCGTCAGGGCCATGTGGGATGGAAGGTCAGTCAGGGTCATGTGGGATGTAAGGTCACTCAGGGTCATGTGGGATGTAAGGTCCGTCAGGGCCATGTGGGATGGAAGGTCAGTCAGGGCCATGTGGGATGGAAGGTCACTCAGGGTCATGTGGGGTGAAGGTCAGTCAGGGCCTTGTAGGGTGGAAGGTCAGTCAGGGTCATGTGGGATGTAAGGTCCGTCAGGGCCATGTGGGATGGAAGGTCAGTCAGGGTCATGTGGGGTGAAGGTCAGTCAGGGCCATGTGGGATGGGGTGGAAGGTCAGTCATGGCCATGTGGGATGGAAGGTCAGTCAGGGCCATGTGGGGTGAAGGTCAGTCAGGGTCATGTGGGATAGGATGGAAGGTCAGTCAGGGCCATGTGGGGTGGAAGGTCAATCAGGGTCATGTGGGGTGGGATGGAAGGTCAGTCAGGGCCATGTGGGGTGGAAGGTCAATAAGGGTCATGTGGGGTGGGATGGAAGGTCAGTCAGGGCCATGTGGGATGGGATGGAAGGTCATGTGGGGTGGAAGGTCAGTCAGGGTCATGTGGGATGGAAGGTCAGTCGGGGCCGAGTGGGATGGTATGGAAGGTCAGTCAGGGCCATGTGGGATGGAAGGTCAGTCAGGGTCATGTGGGGTGGAAGGTCAGTCAGGGTCATGTGGGATGGGGTGGAAGGTCAGTCAGGGCCATGTGGGATGGGGTGGAAGGTCAGTCAGGGCCATGTGGAATCTAAGGTCAGTCAAGGCCACACGGGGTGGAAGGTCACTCTGGGCCACGTGGGGTGGAAGGTCAGTCGGGGCCATGTAGGATGGGGTGGAAGGTCAGTCGGGGCCATATGGGATATAAGGTCAGTCTGGGCCATGTGAAATCTAAGGTCAGTCAGGGCCACACGGGGTGGAAGGTCAGTCTGGGCCACGTGGGGTGGAAGGTCAGTCAGGGCAATGTGGGGTGGAAGGTCAGTCAGGGTCATGTGGGATGGAAGGTCATTCAGGGCCATGTGGGATGGAAGGTCAGTCAGGGCCATATGGGATATAAGGTCAGTCTGAGTAATGTGGGGTGGAAGGTCAGTCAGGGCCATGTGGGATGGAAGGTCAGTCAGGGCCATGTGGGATGGAAGGTCAGTCAGGGCCATGTGGGGTGAAGGTCAGTCAGGGCCATGTGGGGTGAAGGTCAGTCAGGGCCATATGGGATGGAAGGTCAGTCAGGGTCATGTGGGATGGGATGGAAGGTCAGTCAGGGCCATGTGGGATGGAAGGTCAGTCAGGGCCATGTGGGATGGAAGGTCAGTCAGGGCCATGTGGAAGGTCAGTCAGGGCCATATGGGATGGAAGGTCAGTCAGGGTCATGTGGAAGGTCAGTCAGGGCCATGTGGGATGGGGTGGAAGGTCAGTCAGGGCCATGTGGGATGGGATGGAAGGTCAGTCAGGGCCATGTGGGATGGAAGGTCAGTCAGGGCCATGTGGGATGGAAGGTCAGTCAGGGCCATGTGGGATGGAAGGTCAGTCAGGGCCATGTGGGATGGAAGGTCAGTCAGGGCCATGTGGGATGGGGTGGAAGGTCAGTCAGGGCCATGTGGGATGGAAGGTCAGTCAGGGCCATGTGGGATGGAAGGTCAGTTAGGGCCATGTGGGATGGAAGGTCAGTCAGGGCCATGTGGGATGGGGTGGAAGGTCAGTCAGGGCCATGTGGGATGGGATGGAAGGTCAGTCAGGGCCATGTGGGATGGAAGGTCAGTCAGGGTCATGTGGGATGGAAGGTCAGCCAGGGCCATGTGGGATGGAAGGTCAGTCAGGGCCATGTGGGATGGAAGGTCAGCCAGGGCCATGTGGGATGGAAGGTCAGTCAGGGCCATGTGGGATGGAAGGTCAGTCAGGGCCAGGTGGGATGGAAGGTCAGTCAGGGCCATATGGGATGGAAGGTCAGTCAGGGCCATGTGGGGTGGAAGGTCAGTCAGGGCCATGTGGGGTGGAAGGTCAGGGCCACGTGGGGTGGAAGGTCAGGGCCATGTGGGATGGAAGGTCAGTCAGGGCCATGTGGGATGGGATGGAAGGTCAGTCAGGGCCATGTGGGATGGGATGGAAGGTCAGTCAGGGTCATGTGGGATGGAAGGTCAGTCAGGGCCATGTGGGATGGGGTGGAAGGTCAGTCAGGGTCATGTGGGATGGAAGGTCAGTCAGGGCCATGTGGGATGGGGTGGAAGGTCAGTCAGGGCCATGTGGGATGGAAGGTCAGTCAGGGTCATGTGGGATGGAAGGTCAGTCAGGGCCATGTGGGATGGGGTGGAAGGTCAGTCAGGGTCATGTGGGGTGGAAGGTCAGTCAGGGCCATGTGGGGTGAAGGTCAGTCAGGGCCATGTGGGATGAAGGTCAGTCAGGGCCATGTGGGGGTGGGATGGAAGGTCAGTCAGGGTCATGTGGGGTGAAGGTCAGTCAGGGCCATGTGGGGGTGGGATGGAAGTTCAGTCAGAGCCACGTGGGATGGGATGGAAGGTCAGTCAGGGCCACGTGGGATGGGATGGAAGGTCAGTCAGGGTCACGTGGGGTGGGATGGAAGGTCAGTCAGGGTCATGTGGGGTGGGATGGAAGGTCAGTCATGGCCATGTGGGGGTGGGATGGAAGGTCAGTCAGGGCCATGTGGGATGGAAGGTCAGTCAGGGCCATGTGGGATGGAAGGTCAGTCAGGGCCATGTGGGGTGGAAGGTCAGTCAGGGTCATGTGGGATGCAAGGTCAGTCAGGGCCATGTGGGATGGAAGGTCAGTCAGGGTCATGTGGGATGGAAGGTCAGTCAGGGTCATGTGGGATGGAAGGTCAGTCAGGGTCATGTGGGATGGAAGGTCAGTCAGGGCCATGTGGGATGGAAGGTCAGTCAGGGCCATGTGGGGTGGAAGGTCAGTCAGGGCCACATGGGATGGAAGGTCAGTCAGGGCCATGTGGGATGGAAGGTCAGTCAGGGCAATGTGGGATGGAAGGTCAGTCAGGGTCATGTGGGATGGGATGGAAGGTCAGTCATGGCCATGTGGGGGTGGGATGGAAGGTCAGTCAGGGTCATGTGGGATGGGATGGAAGGTCAGTCAGGGCCATGTGGGATGGAAGGTCAGTCAGGGCCATGTGGGATGGGATGGAAGGTCAGTCAGGGCCATGTGGGATGGAAGGTCAGTCAGGGCCATGTGGGATGGAAGGTCAGTCAGGGCCATGTGGGATGGGATGGAAGGTCAGTCAGGGTCATGTGGGATGGGATGGAAGGTCAGTCATGGCCATGTGGGGGTGGGATGGAAGGTCAGTCAGGGTCATGTGGGATGGGATGGAAGGTCAGTCAGGGTCATGTGGGATGGAAGGTCAGTCAGGGCCATGTGAGATGGAAGGTCAGTCAGGGCCATGTGGGATGGAAGGTCAGTCATGGCCATGTGGGGGTGGGATGGAAGGTCAGTCAGGGCCATGTGAGATGGAAGGTCAGTCAGGGCCATGTGGGATGGAAGGTCAGTCAGGGCCATGTGGGGGTGGAAGGTCAGTCAGGGCCATGTGGGGGTGGAAGGTTAGTCAGGGTCATGTGGGGTGTAGGTCAGACATGGCCATGTAAAAATATTTTTAAATTCCTTCCTTTCCAGTTGTTTTGTGTCGCAGATGGGGAACCTGTTCCTCGCGCCAGAATGGTTCAGCAGGGTATGTGTCCATTTCTTCTGATTGATAATTAATTACCTTTAGGTAAGTGCTTGTAGTTAAGCCAGGCAGGGTATGTGTCCATTTCTTCTGATTTATAATTAATTACCTTTAGGTAAGTGCTTGTAGTTAAGCCAGGCAGGGTATGTGTCCATTTCTTCTGATTGATAATTA